TTACTAGTTTTGTTATCCCGCAGGGATAAATTGTGACAAAGTCCGTTCGTCACAAGGATCACATAGACGCTGTTTGTGCTCCGAGAGTTAAAAATTATTAAACTTGTATTGATAAATTTGAGCTTGCTATGAAACAACGTTAACGGGAAATTTCTTTTATATTTATTTATTACTGTCCTGCCTAATATTTTCTATAGACGGGGCATAACAGGGGTTAACTTCTTCTACATTATAATTTATTACTATGACATTAGGTTTAATCTATGTGAGGTTAAGAAGTTTATTTAATTTGTCTATTTTATTTTTGCCTATTTGATTTTGAAAATATATGTCCACAGGCATTTGCTATATTATTTTAGTTTTATTTCAACGACTGTTCACAATAAAATATTGTATATGAGGAATATAAACGTGAACACAGTCATAATAATATGTTAAAGAAAAACAAACTAATTCATTTAGTTTTTAGTTAGATTAAAAACAATATTTTTTGTTATTTTAGTGTGAAAACCTGTAGCAACGCGAAACTAGACACGACAAAATATAATAAATTTATAATAAATATAACCTTATTTTCTAAGTATCATCTAAAATGTTATTATCTGGACATAAATATGAACTTTCTCAAACGAACACCGTGTTAGAAGATCAAGAAAAGTCATATTTATTTGGTATAAAAAAGATGAAATCCATAATGACAATAAATAAAAAACATCCTATATGTAAACTTTATGCTATTAGTTTGGCCACTGTCGAAAAGGAACGGAAAATACACTTCGAATCAGAACATTGGTGGATTATTCATCCATACAGTTTAGCAAGGTTAAAAATTCAATATATTTACCAAAAAATGATGCTTACACACTTGTGCAAGTAAAGTTGTTTATAAGTATCTAAAAATTAAACTATTTATATAACTATCCTATATTATACATATTTATTGCAAACAGAAAATTTAACCACTATTATACTTTTTCAAAAGTATAGGAAGTAAAAAAATAATAAATCATTTTCTTGAAACACTAATCTCTAAAAATGAAATTTTTACACGTAAAACCATGTCTTTTTTAGATTAGTGTATAACATTAGTGATACAAAAATTAATAATTCATTTTAATAAACAGATTTGGCTGGGAAATTTTTATGCTGTTTGTATACAGTTTCTCTTTTATTATGATTCCTTTTATGAACTGCTTTGTTATTCAAGATTATAACAATATTTATTTCGACAATATAAATCTTGGACTATACCCTATTTATTGGCTAGATATAATAATCAATGGTGTAACTGGTTTCTACTGCAAGAAAAAAGGAAATGTAGAATTGCATCAAAGAAAAATTCTTATGTAATTTCTTTTGCGCAAGTATAATCGATTTATTAATGCATTGTGTCCGTAAGATACATGGGAAATTTATTTTTTCGAATTTTGTTTACGCCACCCCCCAGTTTGGTTCCAATATAAGAAAAATATTTTCACAAAAATTTGAAGCCGATTGAATAATATTAACACATGCCTGTAATCGATCGTAATTCCCCACTGAAATTAAATGGAAAAATGTACTTTTTCATAATTATTTATAATTATTATTATTGAAATACACTGGAAACTCCGAAGAGGGGCGCGGCACGGTAAACAGTCAGAGGGGAAAAAATAGGTGGATTCAGAAACTGAAATCTACGAATAAGAGAGTCTGTTTAAAGTGGTCTGTGACGTTCGCTTCGTGCGTGCGTTACGCCTTGGAGAAAATTGAAAGGGACAAAAATACGCGAACGGCCCAAAGTGTTTATTGTTTCTAACCGTTCAAGAACAAACTCCCAAGAGCGGAATAAGACTCTAGCCGTTCGCTTTTCGGAGTTTTCAGTGTATATACTTTATACTCTCGCATTATCTTTAAATTATACCTTCGTTTGGATCCATTTTTTTTGTCCTACAAGCTGGAGGTTTTTTAATAAACGAAGAGAGGTTCTTAAACTCAACTTTGAAACCTTTCAGTTTCATACTGAAATTTTGTAAAATAAATATTGTTACTTTTAGAGCACCTATCATCACTCCAAGCATAAGAGTGACTGATAACTCTTAATCACGTATGCTAACGATATTGATTTCTAGTAAATAATATTCGTGCAGATTACAATTAATCTAATGTTTATTTCTCCTTGAGTAATTTTGGTTTCCATGGGCAATATTTTTCTTAAGAAATTAATTGCTGAAGAATATTGTTCCTTAAATTGGTAAATATTTATTGTAATATACAATTACAGGTATTACCTAAACGGATATTTACTGATAGATATTATATCGTCAATACCTTACGATCGTATTACTGAACCGTTGAGAAAATTACCAGGACCAGATAGTTTGATAGTGATTGATGCAATTAATTTTTTACCTATGTTAAAACTTCTTAGATATTACACTTTTAATAAGAACTTCTTTTACCTTTTTGCAGTAAGTATATTTATTTTCTATTTTATAATCTAATCAAATTCAATTAACTGAGCTCGAACCGGAGTTTCTCAACAAAGAGCAAACACTTAGGCCAATAGTAATTGAAACCGTCTCCATTTCGCTCTTTTAAATTTAACAGAATTTCTGGTTAGTCCACATGACACCAGGACCCTTGCCAGATCGAGGTATAAATTATCTTAAATTTAGATAATATGTGAGCCGCTGTTTTAGTACATATCTAATACAACCTGAACATAGGTGACACTTGTCTAATTATTTTGGGGTAGCTTACTATTGAGTACAACCCCCGATAGAGATTTTGCTTGCCTTCGAACCCAATATGTTTTTTGTTCGATTTGATTTCATCTTTTAATGTCTGCTTTAAATAAGCACGGCATTAATGTCACAGCTGATTCTGGACCTATCAACACCGTATCGTGTCCGTTTCCTGAAGGTCCTACCCATTTTGAAGGGTTCGTTCCTTTTGTCCCCATTAGAATTCCTAAAGATTAAGTTAAGACACAGATTTCTCGATTTTGATTGGTTTGAGTAACCCATTCTTTCCCCCGAAAAACCCAGCGATTGGATTTTGTTGAAACTTGTTATTTAGGGGTTTTTGGGTTCGCTGATTACGAATCTGAAGTCAGATCTTTAAAACAGACCGTGCATTCTTCGGTTCATGTACTCAAGTAGATCCGACCTCCGTGTTGTTCACTTGTGTTACTATACACATTTAATTACATTTTTGTTCCAACTTCAATTCCGAATGCGTTTCAACATGCAATGTTGGAAGGTCCCATGTCAGACGTTAACCTGCAAACCAATTTTTTCAGCTCTTTTAATTATTTGAAGAACAATTGACTTTAACTTTGCACCATCAAAGCCAACACCAGTAAAATGATATCCAACAACTTGCTTCCACCGATATGCAGTACCAGCTAACACATATACCATGCCATGCTTCGTTTTTTACAACTTTTCACTATGCGCAGAAAACAACTGTCTCTCAACTCTCTCTTTAGAATGTCTTGTCGTCTAGTCCCCATAAAAGGCAACGACATATAGTCTCAAGTAAAAATGTTGTAAAGCGACTTTAATTAGAAGAATTTAGTATCGGTCAGTCAATTAAATAAAACAACACAATTCACTAGATCTGTTAAACACAACTCAGATGAGGTTCAGCCAGAGACTAACGACGGATACCTTCGGCGTTCGAGATGGATCGACGACGACAGAAAACGACGGTTCAAAACTTAAGACGATAACCTCATTGCTCCTCAGGTCTCGAACAATAATTTTGGCTACAAGACTCCACGACACAAACACGAAATTAATAAAGAAACGAAATCCAAAAATACTAATTTATTTAATTCAACTCTATTACTCTAAAACTCAAAATATTAATCGAACTGAAAATATCGGTCAGTCCCTATGGTCATACCTGCAAATCTCACCCTCAAACTCGCAATTGGCAGCTAATGGAGAATCGGCAATATTCAAATTCAATACACAAATTTACCTTAATAAAATAGAAATGTTAATTATTTAAACAGTTTTAATGAAATAAATTAAGTGATGAACTCTTCGTCACAAACTCCTCTCCTAGGACAAGCTTACCCCAGCTAAGATTGACAATCACATCGAACAAGTGCCAGGGTCAAAAATCAATAATTCATTAACTGTTAATGTAAGAAAAAGATTTATTTATTATTTGGAAATTAATATGATCTTATAACAAAAACTAAATACATCACGTCGCCCCGTCGATGGTTGTCCACTACCGAACATCGTCGATGTCATCGATGTGCTGGGTTTAGTGGATGCTTATGCACTTCCAGACATGACTGACATCATGGATATGTTCGGTAGACCTTGCCGTGGTGGCGGGGCTTTTCACTAAAGTACAACTAAACAGAAAGACCAAAATGAGCGATTGTAAAAACGAAGAGTACCTGAGGGTTAATGCTTCGGCTAAATCCCTCACTGGTTCCGACCGTCAAGCGCCTAGCGCGGGGGCGGTGGCCAGTGGACGAACGGCTTAAAGAAGAAGAAAGAGGAAGAACCTCCATCTCCAGATGGCAAGAGAACCAAAGCGGAGCGGAACAAAGAGGAGATAGCCACAACAAACGATGATTGTCAATGTAGCTGAAGGAGCGACATTCGCCGCAGTGCGAAGGTTCGTGAAGAAGCTGACCTGGAAACCAGTCAGACAAGGGTTGTGGGAGCTTTATCCACCAAAAAGGGAGACGTCCTGATTAAAATTGGAAGAACTTCAAATAAGGCGTCTTTCACCCAGGAGGTGACAAAGCTAATTGGAGCTTTAAGGCCTAAGCACAATAGGTTCGCGAAAGTCGTTCGCAAACGCAAAGCATGAGTTAAAAAAAGACAGAGATATATTTGTGTCCTTTTCTATCTCATGCGTCTCGTTTGCGAATGACTTTCGCGAACCTATTGTGCGTTGGACTTTAGATAAGGTGCAGATGGCGGACCGGCAAACGGCGCTGGAAATCCGCAATATGGATGCCCTTACTGAAAAGGACGACGTTGAGGATGCCCTGGAAAAATCTCTACGCTACCAGCAGAAAGCAGGAAGGTGACACCAGCCAAGAAGACGCTAACAAGCTAGAGAAAGTTGGGCATGTTAAGATTGGTTTTGTGTCCTGCAAGATCAGAAAAAAAGTTATGGTCACAAGGTGCCATAGGTGCCTTGATTACGGCCATATAGGTCGAAACTGTCAAACAGTAGATAAGTCGGCTGCTTGCTTTAAGTGCGGAGAAGCCGGCCATAAGGTGGCAGATTGCAGGAAGAGCCCATGCTGCTTCTTATGCAAAGCAAAGTGCGGTGACATAGCTGACATCAAACATGTCGCAGGCAGCTGTAGATGCGGAGTCTTCAGGTCGGCCCTTGAGGAGGCCAAGAAGACTCTCGTAAGAACAAGAAATAAAGAGGCCAGTACAAGAGCGGCACGGAAGAGATGCGTCAGCGACTAAATGGGATCTTCACCGCACGAAGTTTGAAGCCATTAGGTTGTTCCGTGGGTTAGCTCGCACAGGAGATTGGTCGATGGTCCTACGATCTCGTCGGTCACACGGTCATCGTTTATTACATTTCTAGCAAGTTTTTTCCTAGATATCGACGTCAGTCCACACTTTCTGTCTTAACAACAGACACTTGATCATCAGTCTCGACGGAAGACTGCACTGTAGTGAGTACCATAACCTCTTGATCATCGTCCGCTTTAAGGTCACTTTCCGATACGTCCTTAGAAGCGTCAGAAATCAACTCAGGTCTTACAATGTCATTTCCACGTCAAGATACAGTTTGTTCACCCCGATAAGTTTCCTGAGATGATCTGTGGTCCAATTTAGACCATTTCTTTGGCGATGACCCTTCTTTCAGCAGTTGAAACAAGTTCCTAAAGGGGGTCCAAGTCGCGGCCAGTCGGGATTGGATCGAGGTCTCCAAACATCGTTCCTGTGGTCTTGATCGTCAGGACTGGTAAATTTTGTTTGTGAACCACTCGGTGCACAACCGATTTCATCACAAGGGCTTTCTTGGACAAGGGATCAGGATCTGATCCATTTTTTATGGCGTCGATGCCCAATTCCTGAGGCACCGCTAAAACATCCGGCAACACAGGTTCCCTAATTCCGACGTAATCCTCACGCTTAATTACAGACTAGCGCTAGTAATCTAGTGCCTTCTTCTGCAACAGCTTCAACTGGTCTCTCTTTTTAGTCGCTTCCATGGTGAAATCGTCTGTCGTTTCCCACAATTCCGCTACCGCCTTCCCCACTCTTCGCGACCCTTCGCTCTTTTTCGGTTCTATGACCTTAGGAACCGGACCTAGATACGTTGAGGTACTTGGCTGCTCTAACTGGGCAATTTTGTTTTCGCCACAGGTAGTTACGGTCGTCTCGTCAATGGTCTCGAAGAAGAATCCTTACAGCCTCGCTCACCGCGCCTATCTACTCGCCTTTCTTCGATGTGGCCTTGTCGTCTTTCTTGACCCCGAACCTTTCATTCCAATAAGCCAGGATTTTTTCATTTTCTCATCACCTTTGAAATCATAAACCTCCTAGGGTCATCCGTCGAACTCCGGCAAAGTTCGTTTCTTCTCCTCTTTCCTACCGGACCAGCTTGGTCTCCTCGCGAAGGTTTTGTGTGTCATCTCTTTGGCTGATACTTTGGTCTTTTTGGTCCGATAATGCTTCCAGAGCCCATGTCTTGTTAGACTCGGTCAGGTCGAATTTTTCCATCCTTGGCACAAAAACTCTTTCTCCAAATAAAATTCTAGCGCGTAGTCGCAATTGTCGCTCTCACAACACCTGCGCTGTTCCCTTGAGAATACACTACTGGCTACGAAGTTCAACAATCACTTCATCGATAGGTGTCTTTTGAATACTGGAACAAATCACTCTAGCTTCCCGTATTTCCAACAATCTGGCGAAATGTCGGCGATAAGACTCCATGTTTATCGCCGTTAATAGTATGATGACCCTCAAGAGGGAAAACAACTTGCCTCGATTCATTCATTAATACTTAAAACATAAATTTCTGTTTATGCCTGGTCGTCGGTCTCAAAAAGAACAATAAAAATTGAGCGAAGACGACAAAAACGCCATTTTGCTCCAACACGCACACCCATGTGAGCCACGTAAACTCTCAAGTCACGCCGCGACGTCACTTCCGCCTCAGCACGTGTTGCCTCGAATTCTTATATTTTTCTCAATATTTCGCTTGATCGATTAATAAATCGACGACGACAGAAAACGACGGTTCAAAACTTATAATGATAACCTCATTGCTCCTCAGGTCTCGAACAATAATTTCGGCTACAAGACTCCACGACACAAACACGAAATTAATAAAGAAACTAAATCCAATAATACTATTATTTAATTAAACTCTATTACTCTAAAACTCAAAATAATAATCGAACTGAAAATAATGAAAAGAGATGTGTCTTTCTTCAAGTCGAAAAGTGGACTGGCCCTAGTTCGCCTGTACTCAGCAATGCTCTCCTCTCTCGGTCAGTCCCTATGGTCATACCTGCAAATCTCACCCTCAAACTTGTCCAAAATTCGCAATTGGCGACTAATCGAGAACCGGCAATATTTAAATTCAATACTCAACTTTACCTTAACAAAATAGAAATATTAATTATGTATACAGTTTCAATGAAATAAATTAAGTGACGAATTCTTGTAGACTTGTTTAAATTGTGTTTTCTACTGGAAAGTATCAATCAAACCATCCATCTAATGGCTAGATCATGAAGCCCTTAGGGCTAGTATTTTTTATTCTAATAATCTTTACTTTTTTAAAAATATTGATCAATTATATATATATATATATATATATATATATATATATATATATATATTCTTTATTTTATGTTTCAGAATTTTAACATCTCACATTTTATATATCAAATTTTTACAACTCTATTACTTTTCTTATTTATTATTTACTGGACTACTTGTTTGTGTTATGCTATTCCTGTATTTATAATGAAAGCCTTTCCTGATACGGTAATATAAAAGACAAGAATCGTTGAATATAATTTTTGTTTTTCTAAATGGTATAAATTTGTCATAGTATAATTTTTCAGAAATATAGTGATCTATGGTTATCTCAAGTGGAAGGAAATGAAGCTCTTGATTATTTCCGCAGTGCCCTTTACATAGTTTTAGATAATTTTACCGGAAGTGGACATGGTGTAATAGAGCCAAAATCTGAAACGTATCTAATAATTTCTACAATTTTAATGATAATTGGAAGACTGTTTGAGTGCTATGTAATAGGTAAATATACATTTTAATTCAATTAATACTCAATTTCTTTTTACTAATAAATATTTTTTTGTTAGTATTAATTTTTCATATGCGAAATGAGAGAAATTCAACAAAATCTAAGGCCTCAGAAATAATTAATCAAGTTGTTACGTATACAAATCAAAAGCATCTTTCCATTTATATAAAAAAAAGAATTTTGGCTTATTATAAATATCGTTATCAAAGTAATTATTTTCGACAAAGTGAAATTTTTTCAAAATTTACTGGTAAGAAAACAATTTTTAAAATTTCAAAGTTTATTTGAGTATCAATAAGTTAGGATATAATTAAAGATTTAATATATTTGTAACTTTAGGAACATATGACTTTTCAGTGTCTTCATATAGTACTCAAGTTAATATATACGATCGAATTGATCACATTATAGTTACTCTATTCAGCTATCTGAAATCGTCAAGGGAGCAACACACTTTTTCTATCAATATTGTTTAATTTTGTTTTAATTTAAAACCCTATTTTATTTTTTTCCTTAAAGTGAAAGATCACCTACTCACGAATAAGCGTGCTGCTTTCGTTTTCTTCTCCATGAGTCTAACCTCGGAAGTAAAGAGGAGGGCTTGCAAGTAGAAATTACGTTTATGACGACTGTGGGTACCTCAGCATTGTCAAACACCATGAACATTTTTTCCGCTCACCGTCCTATATGAATAGAGATACGTCTCTCTCCTCTATAGCGATGATATGGAGACCTTTCTTGATCTCAGGGTACATGAAGTTAACCCATGAAGTTAACCCATGAAGGGTTAAGAAAGATCTCTATAAAGAGTTATTATTCCGCAATTTTTTATTAAGTAAGAGGGTTCAGGCGCTAGTCATAACAAGATTGTGCTTCAGTTCACAGTTGCATTTATTATTTAAATTAACTTCGAAATAAGTTATATGGAGATTAAGGGGAAGTAGAAGTCCTAGTAGTCCAGAGTTGACAAAACATTAAAAAAGAAGAGGTGGGATGAAAGACCTTTAAAAAAGGCCATGGGCAAGGTGCTAGACACTGAGGATCCGTGACCTGAATTACCTTACCAAAGCTGTAGAAATACAGAAAACCCTGGACACATTCCTTACCAATCAAGAGAAAAGCAGGAAGGTAGTCTTAGGACCCAATAACCCAATATTACCTAAATTACATTTAACAGAACTGCATTTGGCCGAATTGTTAACTTTAGGCAAAGTTAATTAATCAAACAGTACCTATTAATAATGAAATTCTATTTTCACGAACTAACATTTGAAGGGATTGTCATTCTTGAGAATTTTTATTTGTTCGAAGCGACATTATTACGAATTGTCCGCTTTAGTAGAATTTATCGAATCTAAAAGTTTGTAAAAATTGTAACTTAACAGATTTTCGTAAAATTTAAAGCTCCGGATCCTATTATACATTAGAAAAATTTATAAGTTAAGAAAAGTTTGCCAGCGGTCTATTAGATCATTAATACCATTTAAAAGTTAATTCAATTTTAATATAACTTATGAGTAATCCAATATAGATACCAGGAAAGAAATGAGTTTGTGCATTTATAATTTAGAAGTTTATCATTTAAGTAATTTTAATTAGGGAAAGCTTTTGTATTTGACAAAGTTGTTACACCAACTTCAGGATCTGTAATATTAGTGCAACAGCTTATAAAATATTTGTTTATTATTAAATATCTCATTTTCTTAGATGAGCTTTGTGATGAAATTAATTTGCATTCTTGTCGACGGCTTATTGAAAATGTGACTATATTCCATAATCTTCCAAAAAAAATGTTGACATTAATTGCTGCTGTTTTAAAACCTGAGATACATTTAAAAAGTGATGTCATTGTGAAGGCTGGGACTCGTGGTGACTGTATGTACATCCTTGCACGAGGCACGGTTGCTGTTTTAACTCCCGCTGGAAAAGAGGTATGTGTTAATATTGAACCATATTTTTTAAATTCTGAACATGGAAAAATATCCTGTGTAATACAAAAATACCTATAATTTGTACCGCTTGCTTATAATTTCTGATGTTTTTGATCGTGGAGTGCTAACAGAAGAAGAATAATAATTTGGTATGTTTCTGCTGCTTGTAATTTTGATTGCTCTTAAGAGCTGGGCTTCGGTCCCCTGCTGCTGATAAAACCTCTCCTTTTTTTCTTAAGATAACCAACACTGAATCTGTTCAAATAAGGCGACGAGGTAATACGGCTCTGCTGAATTATCAATTTTACGTTTCATTTAAGAAATGTTTGTTGTGCTGTTTTTACCTCAGCCATATTTCATCTAAGAAGTGTTTGATTTTCTGATCCATCTTCATTGTTTGATATACAAAATAAATTTACACATTAAATTAAACTTGATTCTTTGTTATTTCATTTACCACAAATGCGTTTCCCCATTCCTCTGATTTCGCACTGACGATTAAATAAAAGCTTATAAATAAATTTAATAATAAACTCTTATAAATCTTTAAAAATCTTGTGTTTCATGCTTTTTAATTTGTGACAAACCCAAATTATATAGAATAAATAAAAATAGAATAAATAAAAATAGAATAAATAAAAATAGAATAAATAAAAATAAAAAAACTGAATAGTATAACAAAAAATTATTTCCTTAACGCTAAAACTACTAAATAACTTATTTTTACAATTCAGATTTGTCATTTGGAAGATGGTGCTCATTTTGGAGAAATAGCTCTATTAGTCCAAGATCAAAAGAGAGTCGCAAGTGTTATTGCAGTCGATGTATGTGAAGTATATCGTTTAGATAGAACCGATTTTCGAAAAGTGATTGCCATCCATAGCGAGTTATTTGCTAAAATTGAGAGAATAGCTACAGAAAGAATAGAGAGAACAATGCTAATTGAAGAGCAGCATAAACGCTTTTTAATGGAATCAATTAATGTTCCTTCTAATTCTAAAGAAGCACTATCTAAAAATGTAAGGTTTAACTTTAACTAAAATTAGTTTCAACAATTTTTATAGTTTCAATCATATATATATTTAAGGACCTTAAATATTATTATTGTCCATACAATATTCGTATTATGGCATTCGTCGATATCTAAACTCTTGTTCTTAAAATCGTATATAATCCGTATATATATATTCTTATTTCTAAAAAATACTTACAGTTACAATTACATTTCCTAGTGCGTCAGTTTTGCACGTTTAACAGTGACTTACTAAAGATACGATTTTTCTTAATTATTGCTATTTTTTATAAAAATTTATGACACGAGACAAAATTTTAAAATATTGTATTCCACAGTACCGACGGTTAGAAAAGAAATATTTCACTAGTCTAAGAGATGCCTAAAATATTTGTATAATTTTACCTAATAATAAAACCAAGTCTTTCTGTCTGCTACGCAGATTTGTTCATTCATATAATGGTGTTATGTATTTCTTCTATTATAATTGATATAATGTGAAACTATAACAAAAATATTCTAAGCGAGTCACTCATAATATTCAAAATGATTCGTTAATGATTAAAAATGTGAATAAAATGTGCTGAAAAATTTCGTCTTTTTAAATTTTTTAATCATTTACACACACATCTTAGTATAGATTTCATTAATTACTGATATATGATATTCGATTTCAAGTTTTCACTTCATATTTCATTTCGTAAACGTTAAGCATTTATAATATGAATAGCGATCAATATGAGACAAAGAATTACATAAGGTTTTTTCACCACAATTTTATAAAAACAATTTACAAATATTATAAAAGTGTGAATGCTTTTTAATATAAAATTTTAGATATGACAGTTTTTAGATATAATTTTATATTTACGAATTTTGATGTAAATGTTTTAAGAAATTGAATTTGCAGACATATCGATAACTTAAACTCACTTAAGTTTTAATAATGTTGATAAAATTAGGTACCTTGAAATGTTTCAACTTTGACAAAATATAAAAATGGACTTTGATTGCTTATTTGTTGATTATGTACAATTGACATAAAGTCTGACACATTTGAAACGATATAGATATACATATATAATAATCTTTGTTGACAAAAAGAGTGCTCGAATTTTTAATAAAAATACAAAACATATTTTAAAACTAAAGTAAAAATAAGTGTAATAAGTTTAAACATATTTATCAAATAGCATTACAATTTTTTTCTACCATCAGTGAAATTTTAATTACAAGAGCATAAAAGGAATCATAAAAAAATTGTCCATTAAAATCTTTTCCATAAGAATATTTCTTTTTTCTTTACAAATTTTTTATAAAATTTTAATTCAACAATTTCTGTTGAGAAAATCTTTGATTCGAACACACTTTATAAAAACACTTTTACAACATCTAATAAGGCACATGATTCATGATTTATGTCAATAACTACAAATTATACTAACTTAGAGAAACAAAAACTTTAACGTTGTTAAAACCAGAATGTCTCATTTTTATAGTTTCATTTTAGACAAAATATTCTAAAGAGTTTCTTTTAACACTTTTAAAGTAAGGGTAACGTCTTTTTGAAAAAAGTACGTTTCATAAAAAGTAAAACACTAAAATAATAGTAAAAAAGAGTAAAAAAAATTTTTAAAGAAAAGATTTACAGTTCTCGGGAAACATAACTTAGCGTTAATGTTACTTGTCTATTTTTAATAAAATAAATTTTTTCGATTAAACACTAAAATTTAATGATGCTTTATAAAAATTAAGTGAGTATTTTAATGTCTTAAAAACCTTTTCATACTGCTTTTTGTTACAATTGATGTCTATGTAAAAATTTTTTAATATATTTTTACATTGTATTTGAATTAACAAAAATAATACTTAATTTTCTATAAGAATGATATGATTTTGCTTATCTTTCTAAAAGTTTTAATATTTTCTTTTAATTTCCGACTCTTGATAAATAAAACTTTTTTCTAAATTCCTAAATTCAATGTTCATTTAGTTTAATAAGTTTCATTAACAACTAGGATATGTAAAAATATATTTAAATATTTAGCTAGCTAGATATTATTGATTTATTTAATGGAAAATATCCTATAAAGCAGTATGAAAAAAATACGTGAAACATTAAAATACTCTCTTAAAGGCTTCTTCTTTGTAAACACTGTGTATAAAATACAAACTGTACACTAAAAAACGCTGTGTCTATTTTGAAAATGCAACGCTGTGCACCATTTTATTCAGGTTTTTATTTTTGTCTCAGCTAAATAAAAAATGTTGCATTTTCAAGACTTGGCGGACTTATAAAATTTTTATAAGAGAAATCTAACGTTCTTCTGGTGACAATTGTTGGAGATTTATTCATATGAGTATTTGCAGTAATTACAAGTAAATTAAAATATAATTTTAATTTCATCAAGTGACAAAGTTTGGAAATTTTTATAAATTACTAGTGTCGCACAGTGGGGTCCAATGTACTTTTTGTGTCAAAATCATTTTAGAGGTCACAAGTTTCATTTAAATTAAACCAAATTTCTTTAAAAATTTACGTTACTAAATTCTCCATAGATTCCTCGATGCCGATTTTTTTAATTCTTGTTTATTTGTATTTATTTGTTTAAAACAAAGTATGAAAAAATCGATATGTTGCTATAAAATAATGTTTTTAACATTTAAAAAATTTTTAAGTACATTAGAAACCATATTTTAGTATTATTTATTAGTATTTATTAGTATTTTTTATTGTTATTTGTAAATTTTTTTTAAACATTAACCAACAAAATTTTAGTTTTTTTTACATTTTTCAACATTTTACGCAGGAAGTAATTAAATATAATTAAAAATAAAGGGTATTGTGTAAATATTTAACAATTGTTCAAGCAAATTAATTGTGATGTTTGTTAAATTTTATTTTAAAAAATTGTAATTTCAATTTTTTTTTCTATTTAATTGAACAAAACTCAAAATTGTGGCTTGAAAATGATAATTTTTATAATTATTTAAACAAAAATTATTAATATTTTTAATTTGTAATAGAATCAGGATATTAATTTACATTTTACTTTGATTTCAAAAACATTTATATTAAGAAATTGTAAGAATATATAGGTATGAAAAGAACTTCCTTATATCTAATTTCAAAATTGTTTAAACAAATTATTTTTATTATTTTAAAAAAATGAGAGTGGCCTTAATAATAAAAATTTCATTTTTTTTAATTTTTACATTTTTTGTTACATACTAGATAATTAATAAGAGTAAAATTTAAATTGGGATTTAAAAACATCGAAATTAAAAAATTTTTTTTTTAATTTTTTAAAATGAAATTTACCAAAAAACATAATTAATTTGTTTAAACAATTGTTAAATATTGTTTACTTAATAAAAGGGTAATTTTATAAAATTTTTTACTACAGGAATACTAAAATATTATTTCTAATGTAAATAAACAAAAATTAAAAAATCGGCATCGAAGAATCGATAGAGAATTCCGTAACGAAGATTTAAAAAATTTTTTTGTTTAATTTGAATGAAAGATGTGACCTCTAGACAGATTTTGACACAAATCAGTACATTTGGCCCCACTGTGTATCGTCGCTATTACTAATAAAAAAAATTAATCATTTTATTATCAATCATTTTAAAATTTTTTTTTGAAATATTAGATTTCTGATGAATACAAAAATGTAATAGATAAAAATTTAGAAAAATTCAGAGTCAAAGTACTTTTACAAAACCTTAAGATGACAACAAAAGTAATAAACATATTCTTTAAAAATCTAATATAATCAAATTGAACTGCAAAAAAATATCTTTTTAGTAATAAATGTATAAAAAGAAAAAAGATTATTTGTCTTGTTTGAAAATTAATCACAAGCTAACTAGAAACAATGTTCAACAATTTTGAACGTTACATTTACTCTTACATCAATATCTAGTGGTTTCGATTGACAAAAACTAAAGTAAAAACAAATAAAAATATTAAATTCTATTTCTTTTTTACTTTTTTTAGTCAATCAAAGATGACTGAGATCGACGAAGTCGCGAATCGTCTTATGAAAGTGTAGAGTGACATTCGAGGCGTCATTTTAAATACATCTTTCAATAATGGCTCCGTCGGACTAGGATTTTAGCTTCAGATCGTATATACATGGAACCTGCGCTTTTTTTGATCGTTGTATCGAAAAAAACACGAAATTAAAAGAAATATAATGACGCGCTAGAAAAGATTTATTTTTTTTAGTTATCTATCGCTATCTATGTATAGACGTTCTAAGGCTTTGGCAGTGAACAAGACTCGATTTTTCGACGCGTTCGGCGCAGTGGAAGAAATTTAACTATCGCTTTCTTTTTTGTAATGACGCTTAATTTATGAAATTTATGAATCAATTTTAATATACGGTTTCATAATTACGTTCCATTGATCCGAACGATCGAGAATTGATTCAAAAAGATTTTTAGTAGATCAAAGAGGGAGCTCTTCTTCTTCTTCTTCTTTCCAAATGAGACCCTCTCACTGGCAATTTGCCGGCTTTTGTACACGATCGGCAACAAAATTTGGCATAATATTTATGATGACAGTAATTCGCTTGTACGATTAGCTCACATTTGGCGAAAAAGTCGTTATCCTTGCAGTTTGGATGAATAAAAATTCCTAAAAATTGAAAAAGATTAAAAAATTTTTTTTTTTTAATTTTAATTTTTTAACATGTAAAAGTCTATACTCACCATCAACATTTATGTTTACACTTTGAGTGCTACTTGAAAATTGATTAGTAGCTTCACATCGATATTGTCCAGAATCGTTTTTGTTCGAGTCGAAAATTTCCAACTTGTTGGCATCTATGATAAGAAAAACAATTTTTTTAGTTTGAGGAAATATAACTTTGTTAGGTGTGAAACTAATTTAAAGATTTCTTTTTTGTTATTTACCAGAAACTCTGATGTGATTATTAGTTTCAAGGGGCACTTCATCCTTGTACCATTGAACTTTTTCAATAGGATACCCGTCCACGTGACAGGAAATGGTTATGTCACTTCCTTCTGGCCATTGCTCTTGTTCCACAGAAACGTTGACTTTCAACGGAACTTTTAAAGCATAAAAAAGTAAATTAAAAAATGCATACAAGTATAAGCTAGAAAGAGATAAAATAAAAGGCCCGTATTTATGGATAACAATATTTTGAAAAATTTATTTTTGTACATTATTAAAAAAAGCAAAATAATTTTTTAAACAGTGAATTTTGAGTTTTCAATAATTTGCTCTAAGTAGTAATAAAATAAAAAAATTAAGCTTTAACTTATTTTTTATGTAATTTTTTTTAATTATTTGGAATGCAATAATATCTATTTAAGTAAATTCAACTTTTGTAATACAAAGTTACTTTTGAGTCATTTTAAGTGAAAAGTACAAACCTGAAATTTCTACGGAAAACACTTATTTCTTAAAATGTTGCTATTTTCATTAAAATGTCTTAAAAAATAGTTTGTAAATAAAAAAACATATAGATTATATGTGCCAAAGGACAGATTGTCATCTTGTGTGGTTTAAAAGTTATTTAATTTAAAAAGTCGTGGTCGTGATTAAAATTTTTAAAATTTAATCATTTCTAAAAATTACAGTAATAACCCCTTCCTGAATTCAATTATTTTCTCTAATTTCCAACTAAACTTTATCTCTAAATCAATTATTTTAAATACTTTTTAAGAAAGTTCTTCGAGAATTAAATTATTTAAAAATACGAAAATTCAATTTTTTATAATAATTTTAATTATAAATATGATCATGATTTCTCCGAAATTTTAATAAGTCCAAAAAAGTAAATTTTTATTTGCTTTATTCAAAGATAATTAAATCTTAAAAAATTATGATAAAAAAATTCTAAGAATTAATATTAGGTAGTTTTAAAAAATATTTTAATGGAATTTTTCGAAAACAATTGAATTCCTTAAAAGAGTTTCTGTAATATTTAATAAGAACTAATTAATTTCTTGATGAATTTTAATTAAATATTTTGAACACGATTTTTTTCTCCAAAATGTTAAAAATAATTCTAAAATGTTATTATTTTTTGTATGTATTAGAATTCGGAAATATATAATTGAAAGTATTGAAAATACTAAATTTTAAAAAATTAGAAGCTAATTTTCATTAAGTTTTATTTTTAACTTTACGTTTAAAGGTTTTTAATTAAAATTGTTGATAATTCAATTATTTTGAAAATATACAATTAAAGTTCTTCAAAAGTTGATTTTCAAAAATTCTAACAAAATATTTTTAAAAAATTAATTATTTTGAATTAAATGTTACAAAAATTTCAATTTATTCAAAATCTTTTTAATAATTGTATATTTCGAAAATTTAAATAGAAAAATGATTCAAAAATAATTTTTGAAAGATTTGTTTATAGTTATTTTTTGCACTTTAAAAATCGAAATGAGTTAGATTTAATACTAAAAAAATATGATATTTTGTTGTAATATTTGGAAAAAAAGTCAAAAAAGTCGCAATTTTTAAAAATAAGTGGAAAAATCTCAATTTTCTAAATTTCCCTGACAAAAAATTGAGATTTTACTGACATGTAGCCACCCTGAAACCATATAAGATGCCATTCTGTTCTTTGGCACATATAATCTACATTTTTTAAACTATTTTTTAAGACATTTGCAAAAATTTTTAAATTGTCGAAAATTTTTAAAAATAAAAACAAAACTTTCTTTTCTTTTTTTTCAATGAAAATTTAAACAATTTTTAAAATTAAAAATAACCAAATTAAAGACAATGAAATTTACTATAAAAGTGCTGCAATTTTTTTATTTCATGCATTATAATGAAAATAGCTAAAATTTAAAAGACATGTATTTTCCATTAGAAATTTCAGGTTGGTCCGTTTCGCGTACAATGCCCCCTTTATTTTTTTAACGTAACATTTCAAATTGAAATTGTATAATTACCTTTAAAAACTATACTTGCTAATGATAAAATTAATAAATTATTTTTTAAAAGCATTATTTATTTAAAAAAAAGTTAAGCAGTTATAATACTTATGCCAAACATGCGGTGATATGCTTAAGAAAATGTTAAAGGATGAAAAATAAGATGAGAGAGTGGCATTCAATATCCAAAGAACAAAATCGTAAAAAAATCTATTCAATGCAAATTTTGAAAAAAAAATTATAAATAATATTTTAGTTAAAAAAATTTGTAAAAATTGTGCAATCAAAATTTAAAAAAAAATTTATTTTTGTCCAACATTTTGAGTTTTTGAAATATGACATTAAATTCAATATCCCAACAAAAACATCTTTGATGCAAAAAGTTCCGCCAAGTAAAAGTTGTTATAATTGTTAAATAAAAGTTTACTAAGTAAAATTTATAACTAAAGTTTTAATATTTTGATTGATTTTATTAATATTACCAATAAATTTCCGAATTGAATGAATGTTTCACGTTATATTATGAATTATAACAAAAATTTAATTTAATTACATGATCAACATAAGCAAAAAATTAATTCTAATTATTCGTCTGAATAAAAAATTTCTATTTAAGACAATTAATTATATTCCAGAGTATTTTAAAAATTCATTAGTTAGTTTAATTTCTACGTTTGTCTAAATGTCAAAGAATCCAATTTTATTGAGAAAAATCCAAATATTTCCAAAAATACGTAATGTATTAAAATTTCCTGAAATGTATATCGAGATTTTAACCTAATTAATAACATTCCAGAATATTTTACAAATCCGTTAAGTAGTTTAATTTCTACGTTTGTCTTAATTTCAAAAAATCTAATTTTTTTAGTTTTGTTTGTTTAAATTCTATAAAAGTATCAAAAACATTAAATAAACTTAACAAAATTCTTTCTTTTATCATTCTTTATCCAACAAAAAAAAATTGAGCAAAATCTATTAAGATTTACCCGAGTTATTCGATTTTATCTATAAACAGTCGATATTTTGAGAATTTATAATATTCGCGTACTCAATGAAATGTTCTCTCAAAATTTTGGATATTGAATCATACTCGAAAATAATGTTATATTATATGCCTCACCTTGATACCGAGATGTCTCATTCTGACTCGGATCAAGGGGAACAACCCCAGGGACATGATAGTCAGGTCTGCGATAAATAGGTGCACGTGTTTGGTAGTCAGAAACTTGAGTTCTTTGGGGTCTAAATGGATAATTGGGTCTTGGAATGTAGGGTCTCTCTGGAGGTGGAATAATATAAGGACTAGAAACATTGTGAACTGGTCCCAAGGCGAATAGGGTCACGGACCACGAAGCTGGTCTCTCGATTCCATTGTAAGCTTGACACTCGTAGACCCCCAAGTTACTAATGGTAACTGATCTAATAAGGAGAGTATAGTCTGAATCTTGTTCATAGTCTTCTGAAGATAGAGGCAGCATGCGGTCTCCCCGCCACCAGGTTACAAAAGGTCTCGGCCAACCCATCGCATAGCAATAAAGGGTTGTCGGTGAATTAATCGTCACAGTGACGGACGCGGTAGGTTCACCAACAATATCAGCGGAACGATTGTGTGGTTCTGGAGTTTGCAAGACAAATAACATGCAAGTTGCATAAAATTAGAGTTCACCAAGCCAAAACCTTAGTTTTAGTTGTTTTACATTACTCCCAAAAAAGTAAAACTATTTATAATAACATTTGTTTTTAAATTGATTTTTGGTTGCATAGCTATTGGGATCGGTAAAAACTTTAATTTATTCTCTTCCTCTATTTTGTCTTTTCTTCTCTTTATGTTGATTGAAAAGCGAAACAAGAAAGGAAAATGGAGGAAGAGAATAAGTCCCCACCAGGTAGCGTATTGCAGTTTAGCCGATCCCAATAGGACATACGAGGCAAAACGAAATGTTAGTCATAAACCTTTTCACTTTTCACCCCAATATGCAAGTTTATTAAATGTTATATTCATTCTGTACCTAAGATAATTATAATACTTTCATATTATTTTGTTAGTAATTTATAATTTAAATAACAAAGCTAACCAACATTACTGTTAATAAATATTCTACACCGTTTTTAAAAGTTTATTACTAAACGTACTTTAAGAATGCAGTGCTTTTAGTTAAACCCATCACCAATTATCGATTATATTAATATAAAGGACTTTATTTTTAGTTTTCGACTTACCGGTTACTTGTAGTTGATATTCAATTCTAACTGGTGGTCCAAGACCGTTGTCAGCAGTACATATATAGGTACCTCTATCATATGTGTACAGATTGATGATTTGTAAGGATCCGTCATTTAAAATTCGTCGTCTCTTCTCTGTTGCATTTATCTAGATATAAATAGATAAAGTCTTTAATTCATTCAAGGAAAACATATTAGAGTGGATAATTTTAGACTAAAACAAGTGTAAAGTCTATTAAAAATTATAAATACCAGTTCAGTATCTTTTCTCCAGCTAATTGTTGGTCTCGGTGAACCAGTTGCTATACACTTCATTGTCACAAAGAAACCTTCTTCTGCTGAAACTTGAGGATCATCTGGTTGTTCAATGGCAGCAGGTTCTGCTCCATAAGTCGGAGCTGTAACATTTACAATTGGAATAGGCGTGTAAGGCTCCTCGGATGCTGGGTCCAAGCAAGAAGTGCCACAACCATTATCGCAACATTTTCGATCGTTTGAACAATCCGCGTCGGTTAAACACTCCTGCTCACATCTTGTACTATTGGATACAGTGGGACATCGACCAGGGTTCACTGCTGTAATATAAATAAATAACATCGATTTATTCTCCTGAACGAAGAAAAAATTAAACTCTCTCCAATCAATTTATTTACCATTTCTACAAACTCCTCTATAAGTTGTATCATCATCATTATTATTATCAAAAATAATGGTGCACTTGGTTCCATCTGGACAAGAGAGAGAGCCGCATGGATCAACACATCGACAGCGTTCACAATCTTGATCATCAACAAAGGCTTCCTTGCCGTAAGGACACCGAATCTGTCTACATTCATCTTTCACTTCTTCACATGGGTCTTTTGATTCGTTTGGTCCACCAACGTCAATTTCATTTGCTAGATTAAAAATTGAAATATTTTTAAACCTTCATTAGAGAAAAATAAATTTAAGAATTCTCAAAATTCGAACGCATAGAAGAAAAAAGTAATATTCAATTTCGATACATAAATCGAATTATTTTTTGCTATAAAAGTAAAATTTCAGCGATAAATATACAGCGGGATAAGCATAATTAGCGGAATGTATATACATTTTTGATTTTGCAAAAATATTGTAGCAAGATTTATTTTTCTGAAAAACGCATAAATTGAGTAACGGATTCCGAAACCGTCACTTACATCTAAAACAAGTGGCAATGCAGGACTCAAAGGTCTTGAAATTGTTACGATTACCACCACAACCGGTGTAAATAAAGGATCTGCACGTTTGAAATTCCTCGACATAATGGAATCGTTTATAATATCCAGTAGTGCAATAACCTGTATCAACTGGTTCTCTGCAGATTTCTAAGTACCAGAAAAACCAGTTCATTGAAGTCAAATTTAAAATTTTCATTCAATAAAAATTCAAGGGGCTTTAATTGAAAGTTTTTTAAGGTTTTGAATCATTAGGAAAATTTACCAATGAAAGATTTTTCGATATGAATACTGTTGTAGATGAAAGGAGTAGAATTAAAATTTGTCATCTAACGTTGAGTTAGTAAGTTTAGTTTCTTACCATGATGAGAGACGGAAGTTTCATTTCCACTTGATGTTGGTTCTTCATGATGAATGCAGACCGATTCGCATTCAGGAACAGTACTAAATCGATTAGCATTGCCATCACAACCACCGTAGACGAATTCTTGACAAGTTCGAGACGATCTATCGTAAAAGAATTTGGTGAACGCTCCTCTACAAGGACCAGGATCGACCGATAAATTACAAATATCTGTAAAAAACAAATTATTAAAATTATTATTAATATTTTTTTCTCCTTTCATCGCATGGAAGACTATTGATAAAAGTATGAAACTTGAAACGTTACTCAGGCGGTAACGGATGTCTTCCTTTACCTAATTTGCATATCTACTCTTTTCATATAAGGACTATCGTTAAATTTTTACTATAAAATTTATTTTTCTTTATTTATTCTCACCTTGCTTATGGAAAGTACCGCAAAGACGTTCACATTGTTCTTGTGTCTGGAATCTATTGGCATTTCCTTCACATCCGCCATAGATGAAAGCCTGACAACTTCTAGCATCGACATTATAAAAATAGGACGTGATTTGTTTGTTACAAGGACCAGCATCAACAGGAGCGGAACAAATTACACTCGGTGATTCATAATCAGCGTGAGGAGTTGTATCCCGTTGAATTTCAACTTCGTGTTGTCTGACACATCTTTCACTACATGTTTCCAAATCTTGGAAGCGATTTTTGTTTCCCTGGCAACCACTGTAGTCGAATGGGAAGCAGCCATCATACCTTCTATCGTAATAATATTGAGTAACAGATCCATTACAAGGACCGACGAGAACAGGTAATGTACATGGGTCTGAAAATGAAAATTTCAGAAAATCAATTTTACGAATTCACAAAAAATTTAATTTAAGATCATGTTATTCAGTGGGGTCACATGCCCCATATACTTTACTATGAAAATACGTCACACTGAATAACAAGACCTTAAAATCATTTTTAAGATCGTTACCCTGAACTTCGCCACATCTATATTCACATTCCTCACGAGAATTGAAATTATTTCCATTGCTGCCACAACCACCATAACTGAATGTTTTGCAAAGTCCAATTCGAGAATCGTAGAACCATTTAACTTGATTGTCAGAACACGGTCCTCGCTCATCAGGTAAAAAGCAAAATTCTAGTAATATAAACATGTTAGTTAAAAATTTTTAAATTAAGTATACTTTCAAGTTACATTCCATTTTAATTTACCAGTTCTAAATTCTTGTGAAGGAGGTGCTTTTGTATTAAGGGAAGCTTCGCATCTGTTGATACAATCGTGTTCAGTCTGGAAATTGTTCTCGTTTCCTCCACAACCTCCATAATAGAACTGTCTACATTGTTGTTCATAGGAATCGTAGAACCATCGTTGAGTGTAATTATGACAATCACCCATAACAGCAGGAAGCAAGCATAAATCTTGTTCTAATATAAAAAAGAATTATTATTATTAATTAGTAATTTTTTTGTAAATTAAGAACAAACATTCAATGATTAGTAACTTAAAATTCTTATTTATGTTTCCAAACTAACATTTCAATAAATTTAAGTAATAACACAGTCTTACCGATCTTAGATGGACAAATAGACTCACATGCTTCTCTAGAGTCAAAGTTATTTTTATTACCACCGCATCCTGTGTAATAGAATGGCATGCAGCGATTTTCTGATTGATCAGAGTACCACCGAGGAATCTTCTCTGTGCAGTTACCTTCAGTTCGAGGCAGCAAGCAAGAATCTGTTTCCAATTTTATGTTACCATGCAAAGTTAGTGTGTATGAAAATATTATTCTTTTTTAAATGCTTGTTAATTGCTTATTTGACTATTGCATTTGTAAAATTCATTATAACAAGCACAAAAAATCCTTTTAATTTAATCATGAAAATGATTTAAATGAACACCAACACCAAAAGTTCAAAAAAATTCTCATTTTCTACAAAACCAACCATTATTCTAGAAATTGCATTCAGTTATTGAAAATTACATTCCGATTTAAAAAAAAACATTCCCATTTCAAAACTTGATTAATTTGTTTTCAAGAAATCTTTTTTGAATATTGAAAGCTTACCTCGTATGCGTCCTGGATGAAGACACCTTTCTTGGCAGGACATTTCGGTAAGGAAGTTGTTGTGATTCGACTTGCATCCACCATATTGGAATTGTTCACAAGTTTGTGATTCTTTGTTGAAATGGTATCTGGTAAAGTTTCCAACACAAGGACCCGATTCCTTCTCTTGCTGACATGGATCTACAATGTAGATTATCGAATTTAATTCAAGCGTTCTTCAGCATATAATTTATAAACTAATTGTAAAATATGTTTACCAATATCATCAGACTCAGAACATAGAGACTCGCACTCTTCTCTAGTTTTAAAGTTGTTGGCATTTCCGAGACAGCCACCGTAGATAAATTGACCACACTGCTTTCTATCCACGTCGTAGTACCAAGTTGGGAAATAGCCTTCGCAAGCTCCAGCGATTTTGGGTAGGTAACAAGCATCTGAAGAAGATTAATTTTTATTTAGATTTTTAAATTAATTCAAGTGTCTTTAATTCTAAAATATGTCAACATACTTTTGCCCTTCGGCTGCACGCAGGTTTCTTTACATTCTTCCTGAGACTTGAATCTATTCTCATTACCCTCGCAACCACCGTACCAGAATCTTGAACATCCACCATATTCAGTGTCATAGAACCACTTGACTGTAAAATCTCTACAAGGTCCTCTATCCCTTTCTAAACTGCAAGCAGATCCCGGAATTGATGGAACGCTAAGACATCCTTGGAAGTTGTCACCTTGAGATTCCTCTATTCCATCAAGGCAACAGCCGTATTTTGAAGCATCGCAAGCACAACCCTCAAAGTTTGGACCCTTAGCAGGCGTTCTTCCATCGGAGCAACATTTGAACTCTGTATTTTCGCATCCGCATCCTTAAAAAATAATATAATTATAATTCCTACCAGTGTTGGCAAACAAATTTTATCAAAATATGTAATTGATTTAAAAAATTTGAAATTGTTCCAAGTGTCACGTCATCGCGACGTATTTTATATTTATAAAATAATATTTTGAGAAGTTAGAATCTGAATCCTTATTTTCTTCTAATCAAAGCAAGTGGTGGCACTCTTGCCGAATTAGTCATTCTATTTTTCTAAGAACTGCATTACTTCGATTTTAACGTCAAATCAATAATTCGGTCACTCCTAGGCTGAGGGATGTTTTATATAATTTACCGGAGTCCAGTTGTCGATACACCTGGACTCCGGACCTTCCACTTTTGGCTGGCTCGAAAACAATATGAGGGAAATCTACTATCTCCGATTCTAATTGTAAAGAATTCAAATAAAAACTTTAATAATTTAACTTCAATTTAACAATTACTCTTCTTTAAAATCTGTCCCTTATCCTGTGAATAAATCTGGTTTGAATCACCGATGTCGGACAATTTAAATATATATAATTTGGATTATGTTTAGTTTCATTCTGAGATATAACACAATAAATACCTTGACTGTTTGGACCTTTAGCTACTGTAACTCCATCTGGACAGCAGCCGAACTGATATGTATAGCAAGGACATCCCTCAAAGTTGGGTCCATTAGCTGGAGTAAATCTGTTTGGACAGCAACCGTGCTGAGTGTATTGACAACCGCATCCTTCATTGTGGGAACCACGTGCAACTGTTACATTATCGGGACAACATCCAAATCTAGAATATTGACATCCACAACCATAGAAATCTGGACCTCGCGCTGGAGTGATATTGTCAGGGCAACATTTAAAGGGAGAAGAGAGACAGCATCCATCACGGTTCTGTCCATGAGCTGGCGTTATTCCATCATCACAGCATCCGAAAGTTGAATTTTCACATGATGTATGACATCCCTGATATCGTGGACCAAGTGCTGGATAATTAAAATATACATCGAATTAAAAAATTAATCTTGAATAAAATTCAAACTATTTACATTCTTGTTAGGACTATTACCTGCTGTTATTCCATCAGGACAACAACTGAAATAGGAAGCAGTACAATTTTCCGTATTAATGACTCCACAACCTTTAAAGTTTTCACCACTAGCTGCTTTTTCTCCATCTGGACAGCAACCATAGGTCGAATTAGCACAATCTCCATCAATTGGTGTTGTAGTTTCAAGTTCGGGCATTTCTGATACTTCTTCTTCACAACCTAAGGCAAAGATTTATCAGTAGTATAAATATTCACATAGCAACAAATTTTTTCGCATATAGAAATTTTATTAGAGGTTGAAGCTCACCTTTACCATCTGGACCAGAAGCTTCTCTAATTCCATCAGGACAACAACCATACTTCGTAACATTGCAACATCCCAAATTGTTTTTTCCGATGGCTGGCGTTTCTTTATCAGGACAACATCCAAATCTACCATTCAGAAAAGTTAAATTAAAATCAGTTTGTAAGTTACAGAAAAGTAATCGTTAAGGTACTAACTCAGTTTCGTTGCAAGGTTTCTTGCAACCTTCGTAATCATTTCCTTCGGCAGGAGTAATTTCATCTTGACAGCAACCAAAGAGTGTTTCGTTACAATGTTGATCTGGACATTCTTCGTTCTTTGGTCCTTTAGCGGGTGAAACACCATCCGGACAACAGCCGAATTTAGTTTCACTACAGGTCTCAGGATTTGGACAACCTTTTCCGAAGGGACCTTCTGCAGGTGTGACACCATCATAGCAGCATCCAAAGTCTGTAGTCTTACACGTCTTCTTCTTCTTCGGTTTGCATTTTTTCATTTTTCCTTCCTTTTTCAATGCAGTTTGTACAGAACTAACGGTCGTCCAAAACTCAGAAACTGCAATGAATATTTTAGGTTTTTATGAAACAAATTAAAGATCCTATAAAGAAAGAGAGAAATTCATTCATTACCATGAGTCTGATCTGTTAAGTCTGTACTTTCTTCTTCAGATGCAGTTGTACCCTCAGTTAATCCACTTTCTGTTGTTAAACCACTAACTGTGGTTTCTCCAGAAACTGTTGATAATCCTGATTCGGTCGTCTGTCCCGATTCGGTAGTCAGACCAGATTCTGTCGATAAATCTGATGCAGTTGTTAAGCCAGACTCAGTTGTCAAACCCGAAACTGTTGTTAGTCCTGATTCAGTTGTTAAACCAGATGCAGTTGTCATTCCTGATTCTGTTGTTAATCCTGATTCTGTTGTTATTCCAGATTCTGTGGTCGCACCAGATTCTGTTGTCGCGCCAGATACTGTGGTCGCTCCAGATTCTGATGTTGCACCCGAAACTGTGGTCGCTCCAGATTCTGATGTTGCACCCGACATTGTGGTTGCTCCAGATTCTGTAGTCTGACCACTCAACGACGTTCCTGAATCAGTAGTTCCTTCCGAGGATGTAGTGCTTTGAGTTGATATTCCTGAAACTAAAAACAAAATTTATCTATTCACTAAACTGATTAATTTTGTTATTACAGAAAAGTATATGGTTAAAAAAGGTACACACCTTCACTTGAAGAACTAGATTCAGAAGTACTGGAGGATGTAGAACTCATTTCGGAGGAACTGCTCTCGTCCGATACTGAAACGGTACTTAATGTTTCTGATGTTGAAATCGTGGAAGTTGGTTCTGAAGTAGTTTCCGTAGATTCTGAAGAAGTAGAAGCAGAACTTTCAGATGAGTCAGTCTGTGATGTGTCTGTCTGTGCTGAAGTTTCAGAACTCGAAGTACTAGTTACATCATTGGTACCAGAGGATGTAACTGAAGAAACAGTAGAAGAAGACTCAGATGATGTTTGTGTTGAAATTATTGTTGAAGAGTCAGACGAAATTGCAGTCGTTTCAGAAATAGATTTAGTAGATATGCCTAAAAATTTGAAGTTTAATTTAAAACTAATCAATTTATAGGAACTTAAATAATTATCAACCTCCAGTTCTTACCAGATTCGTCAGTAGCTCCGGACTCTGTTGTTGCTCCAGACTCTGTTGTTAGTCCAGAAACTACTTCACTTGATGTTTCAGATACTGCCTCAGTTGATCCTCCAGTAACCACAGATTCTGTTGTACCAGTAACTGTCACAATGGTATCTTCGTCAGGTGATGTACCGCTTCCCTCGAAGGTTGATTCAAATTTAGAAGAGCCTGTTTGTGGGAATAATGTAAATTCATCTTCATCAGTACCACTGCCTTCTCCACTACCAGACTCAGTGGAAATTTCAATATCTCCTCTACTGTAACCAGCATCACTCATCATCATGTCATCAGAGAATGCATCAGTCTTACCACTGCTTTCGGTACTTATTGGCGAACTCAGAGGAGAGACCTCCGTAACATCTCCTTCCTAAGAACGGGTATAAAAGTAGAAAATTCTTTAAACAATGTTCAATTTTTTTAATTAAGAATATGAATGTAGAACTCACACTCGAGCTAAAGCTAGTTTTTATCGTAACATAATCTTCTCCCTCCTCTTCTTCTCCTTCCTCACATTCTTCTTCTTCACTTACATCTGGAGTAGTCTTTTCCTTATCGGGAGTTACGGATATTACTTCATCTTAAAAATAAAAATTTAATTTTGAAAATTCCGAAAATGATAATATGAAATTAGATAAATTGAAATTGTTTCTTACCTTCTCCACATGGCTGTTCGTTACAACTTTCTTGACTAAACATTATCGTTTCCACGTCACAGTTACTTGAAGGTACTGCCATGTTATCTTTCAAACAAATGACTTTACGAGTCATATCCCCACCACCACAAGATTTAGAACACTAAAAGCAAAGTATATTTTAAATAAATAACATATACATTTTGTCAAAAATTTATTTTTAAAAATATAAATATTTGTACCTTACTCCAAGGACCAGCAAACCATTCTCCTTTGCACTCTTCCGCTTCAGCAGTACAATTCTGAGTATCGTTGTATTTCTTTTTGGCATCGCATTTCTCGTCAGATACTTTTTTTAGTGTATCTTCATTTTCAAAAGTCGCACAAAACACTTGTCTATTTTGTATTCCAGAACCGCATTTAGCTGAACACTGAAAAGATTTTTTCACGTTAATTCACTACTCAATGATTGTATCAATGATTGTATTAATCATTATTAATACAATAAGAAATATTTTTCCAAGAGTATTCAATATCTATGAAGAATTTTTAATAATAAAAAGAATGTAATTACGTCGCTCCATTGAGAAGTGACCCATTCATATTCGCAAGTTTGTGCAGTTTCACATTCTCGTTTTAATTCAGGTTTCTTTTCCAGGTCGCAATTGTTATCGGGATAAATTGTGCCATCTTGAGTAGCACATTGTGTCGTTCTGGTTTCATGAGTTAATCCACATTTATCTGTGCACTAAAATGTTTTTGAAAAGCTTTTAATTTTTAGTACAATAATAAGAAGAGTTTTTTTTAAAGAGATTAAAAAGGTTTTAATAGAGATATTTTAACATTGAAAAACTCACTCCACTCCAATCGGACGTAATCCAATCAAGTCCAGTACATGGTCTTAATTCGCAGGGCTTTTCTTTTTCAGGCATTTTTTCCGGACATGCTGAATCCTCCAACACTTGAATTTTTCCATCCGTCTTTTTGTAACAAGTCACTTTCCTCATCTGTTTGCCTTTTCCACATAAATGATCGCACTGTAGAACAAAAAGTTAACTATTAAAATGAAACAGATTTTTGATTTAGTATAAGTTGTAAAAATTAGAAAATTAACAATTGTTTAATAATTTCAGTTAAATAAGTAAAGCTGGTAGCAAATGGTCTATCGATAAAAGATATTTTAGTTGAGTTTAGTACTTGTTTCGATTCTATCAAAATAGTTTAGATTCAAATAGATACAATCTTATTGATAGGATTTAACTCACTGGTTTCCATGGTCCCACATGCCATTGAGGGCAGTCAAGTTCCTTATTACATTCCTGCTTTGATTCAGGTTTAGGAAGTTCGAGACACTGAGAATCATCGACGATTGAGGGAATCCCCCCTGCAACCACCTGCTCGCATTTAACTTGTCTAGTTTGCTCGCCACCCTCACCGCACGGCTTACTACAAGGACTCCATTCACCTGACACCCACTGGGGTGGGCAAGCCTCCTCACTGCAAGCTTTCGTTGCTGCTGGCTCGAGAAGAGGATCACAAAGCTGTTCATCTACCGGTTCCGAGTTTCTTCGACGAACACAATTCACTCGTCTTGACTGATATCCTGCATTCAAGATTAAATTGAATTAAAATTTGCATTCATAGTCGATCATTTATGATATCTAATTGTAACCAAAGAAACAATATTTTTTCTGGAAAGTGCAGAATACATTAAATATATTTCTTAAAAAAATTAGTTATAGCATTTAGTAAAGAAAAAAGAAATCCTCTTGTTTAATTTAACCCAAGTTTTAATAAATTTCTGTTCAAGAAGTTGGAGCATTAGTTGTGCTTGCTATTTCAGTTAATAGATTAATTATTAAAAAAATTGAATTTAATGAAATACTTTGATATTTAAAAAAATTAACTTCACAATTTATTTTTCCTATACCTCCTCCACAACTTGTGCTACAAGAAGAAAATTCATCTGCTATCCAAACGTAGCCATCAGGATCTCCTTGCTGTGATATTTTTGTTGGAACGCTATATTCATAATTGACACCAACGTTTCTATCTTGGTAGAGTAACTGAAAATATGAAATTTACTACTTATTTCATTGGAACGAAAACAGCTTCAGGTTGAAGGTGGGAAATATTTTCAACTGTATACTTACCACGACGTAAATTGGTTCAGTCGTTGGTCCCAGAGCTGTAATTGTGTCAGGAGCAGAGAAACCTTGAGGATCTCGAGAATAATGAAAAATAGTTCCAGCAAATCTCAAGCTTCGAGGAAAGTCTATTCTCCAGTTTCCATTTAAGTAGTAATGTCCACTTGTGTTTCTAACAGCTGAAACCATATTTCGCAAAAACATATTTTTAAATTTTTCATTTTTCAATAAATGTTAAACTGTTAAAGTATTATGCTCATTTTTTTCATAGATAATACCAAATTTAATTGGTATTATTAATTAATGACTTATATTGTATATCTTTTAAACTTTTTTAGTAGCAATATCTCCTATATTAGAAGTGACCATGGTTGACACAAATGGAACCTCTCTAACTAACTTACTAACTAATTAACTAACTTACTAACAAACAAACTAACTAAAATAAAACTAAATAAAACTAAAATAGATACTAACTAACAAACTTAGTTAATTACTTACTAAGTAACTAACTTGCTGACTGACTTAATTACTAACTTAGTTACTACTAAATTAGTTACTAACTAACTTACTAACTTAGTTACTAACTAACTAACTAATTAATAAACTTAGTTACTGTCTTAATAAGTAACTAACTTACTGACTAACTTACTTAGTTACCAGCTAACTTAATGACTAACTTTGTTACTAACTAACTAACTAACTTACTTACAAACTAACTTACTAACTTAGTTACTAAATAACTTACCAAATTAACTAACGTAGTCACTAACTAATTAACTAACTAACTTACTAACAAACTAACTAACTAACATAGTTACTAACTAATAAACTTCGTTACTAACTTAATAATTAACTAATTTATTGACTAACTAACTTAGTTACTAGCTAACTTAATGACTAACTTTGTTACTAACTAACTTACTAACTTACTAACTTATTGACTAAGTTTGTTACTAACTAACTTACTAATTTACTAACTTAGTAACTAATTAATTAACTAACTAACTTACTAATAAACTAACTAACTAACATAGTTACTAACTAAAAAACTTAGTTACTGTCTTAATAAGTAACTAACTTACTGACTAACTTACTTAGTTACCAGCTAACTTAATGACTAACTTTGTTACTAACTAACTAACTTACTTACTAACTAACTTACTAATTTACTAACTTAGTTACTAACTAACTTACTGACTAACTTAATAATTTACTAACTTAGTTACTAACTAACTTACTGACTAACCTAATAATGAACTAACTTACTAAATAACTAATGTAGTTTCTAAGTACATAATTAACTAACTACCTTCGTTACTAACTAACTAACCGAATAACTTAGATACTAACGAACTAACCAACTAACTTACTAACTGTGTTACTAGCTAACTGATTTTGACCTAAACGAATAATTTATTAGTAACAATTAAAATTTTGAAAAATTAATTATATTAATATGTTTTGTTGTAATAATAAGGGGATAAAAATGTTATAATCCGTATTAAAAATTAATAAAATGTTTTATTTTCAGTTGTGGACAAAGTATTGTGTGCAATTCGTGGAGAACAGCGATTTTCGCTCTCTTGATTGCAAATTATTACAAATTATTATTTGATAATTTTTAAGAAAGTTATCATCATTTGTTTAAAATAACAGCCTATTTTTGAAATTGTTAACAATTTAAAAACAGTTGATTTAGTAAAGAAACTTGTAGGACAACAAATGTTCATTTTTACATGTAGAATTGGGAACAAGACATTACAAAAAATTTTATGATATTTCTTTCATGTTTGTACGTTATGTAAATGACTTAAAATGTAAGGTTAAAGTGTTGTAAAATAAAATTAGTTTTAAAACATTTTTTCCAATTCTACATATAGAAATTAACATCTTTGTCCTACAAATTTTTTTTTTAATCTAATATTTTAAAATTATTAACAATTTAAAAAATAGGCTGTTTTTTTAAACAAATAAGAATAACTTTTTTAAAATTATCGTACAATAATTTTTAAAAAAGCATTGGAAACGTGACGAAATAAGCTAAATTACAATGCATGAAATTTATGTATGATGGCTTGTTAAAAACTACATTTGTTTAGAATTTACCCAAAAAAAAATTTTTAATTTTGTTTATTGCTAATTGCATTTAAACAATAAAGAACAAGTTTTTTAATTTATTATTTCAATATTATGAAAGTAGGGAATATTAGCTTTGAAATAAAACCTTAGTCAACTTTCTATCGTTACTAGAAATTAAAATAAATAACTTTTTGTAATGTCTTTATTTGCTGTAGGGTATAGGCAAATCCTATTGTCCAGCACTGTACTTATGGATATCAACACTATGAGAATTCAATTTTAGAAAAATGCTTTGGTTGTTTAAATATAGAGTATTTTTAAGAAAGTTTCTCGAACATTTGACAAAAAACATTTATAGGTCGTTTTAAATATGAATGTAAGTGATTTTCTCAAAATTGTATCAACTGCTCATAGTTTCTCCTAAATTTAATTATTATTAATCCGAAAATATTAATTTCCTTGTACTTATGAATAGTAAGTAATTATTACTTAAGCTTTTACAATATATTCAATTCTTGTAGCCAGAACTCAGTGATAGAAAATTAGGAAAAACAAGAAATTGTACTTTACCCAAATAATTATTTGATGGTTCTATTTCTTTTACAACGATATTTGTGGCTCCTTCAGGAATTAATAGTATATCAACGTAACCTGTTAAATAAAAATTCATATTTTAGTTAATTTTTCAGAATTAATTTTATTCTTTCATCTTCCTTGTAACTAACCTGCTTGTAAATCATCTGTGTCAAACACTCCCTTTACTGTATTACAATCAGTTCCATTGCCTCCACATACTCTACAGGCGTCTTCTTTGGCGTCACTTCCCAACATCAAATCACACCCAACAGGCTATAAAGCATAAAAAATAGAAATAAATAATAATAAATAAATAATAATCATAAATAATGAAATACATGTACTTTTTATTACTTAATATAAAAATTACTACAAAACAACAAATTAATATTAAAATAAATATATATCAATGTGTATTTATTAAAATTTTTAAACACAAATAAAATTCTATCTGTTCTTTTAGTTCAAAATTTTGTTTGCTTACCATACATTTCCCCTCAACACAAACATCTTTTTTTTCAATGTCACATAAAGTTCCGTCTGTAACACTCGGTTTATGTCTGTAGAAAAAACGCTCTCCACGTGGCATGCAATTCAAGTCACACTTGTTGGGACTACCTGTATAAGGAATCCAGCTAAAAAAGTAAACAGAAAATTAATAATGTTTTAATTTTTTACGAACTGCATTTAAATATATACGAAACTGTTAATATATTCCAAGAATCATCCAGGAATATTGGAAATTCTATTAGAATGTTCTTGGAATGTTCAAAATAATGTCAGTGAGTAAAGAAGCATTCACGGTCGAAGTTCCTAAAAATTTTTAAAACGTTTTATTTTTTATATCGTTTTTATTAGAACCTTTTTTAAAGCATGAAATGTTTATAGTATGATTATATTTTGGCTGACATGAAACGTTTTAAAAAGATTTAGAAATGTTTCTAGAACATAAATATTTTTTTCCACTGGAAAGGTAAATATCCGAAATGTTTAACAAAGATGTTCCTTTAATGTCTTTTAGGAATATTCTTTAAATTTTCTCTATGAATATTCCTGGATCATTCTTTAGAAATATTAGTGACCTATTTTTAAAAAATAGGACAATTTTACTTATTTATATTTATTTATTATTTATTTATAATAACTTACTCGTAATGAACCCCTTCAAATGGTATGTCGTTAAAAATTGCGCACTGTTCAGCTCGGAAATCACTCGCCTCTTCAGGACATTCCTAAAATTCATACAACAGAAAAAAATATGAGCTTCTCTGAGGGTTAAAAAAGATAAGATTCTACAGCCACTTTTCTGTGGTATAAACATTTAAATAATGTAAAAATGGTGAAGAAAACTATAGACAGTAAAAAGTTATCCATATAACGCCCCGATCTCCCCTACTTTGTGCTATTAGGGCAGTAGAGGATTTTTGAGTAAACTAATATCTACATAATTTTAAGATTATATTCTCATTTCAAATTGAAAAAAATACTTAAATTCAATTTTCCAATTGATTTAAATAAGTAAAAGAAATCTTGAAAGCGAGAGTATCCATTAAGTTCTAAATGATGTATTATAATCATAACACTTTGCGTGTTCGATATAATAAAGTTCAATCGTAAAGGATAATATCAATAAATTGTGGAAGACCAGAGAGAAAACGAAGAAACAATATCCCACTGGGAAGCAGGCATACACGAAATGAGAATTTATGATAACTAATTTTTCACCCAATCTTAGGGAAGAAAAAAATTTTAAAAAGTAAAAAAGTACTGTATTTCTTCGTGAATTTAATTAATAATTTCTTAAATTTTTAATTGCTGTAAACATTTTTTAAGAAATTTTTAGAAAACAAGAAGTAAAAAAAACAGAAAAAATGTTTCATGTATTAAATTCTGTCGATGTTTTCTTTTATAATATTATATAGACAGATGAATAAGCAAAATTAAGCATTGCAAACATTCATATATATGTGATGAGATTGTAAACATATTTGAAAAAAGCGGATAATGCACTGTTAGAAAAATCTGAATTAAATTTAATAAATTGCATATGAAGCAAATATGCAATACCAGCATTGAAATTTATATAGGTACATTTTTATTAAAATTAACATACATTTAGATTAAATTTGATATAATTTGTATTAAATAGAAAAATTTGAGTTAAAAACATTTTAAAATATTGAATTTTGAAAAAGTTACAAATGATTGCAGAAATTCAATTATTTTCAAAAGTAATAAAATTCTTCCTACAAAGTTCAATTATTGTGTTCAAAATTTAAAAAAAAATCTTGTCAAAATCACAATTATCTTTATAAATAAAAAATTTCTTCTCCAAAATTCAATTATTTTCAAAAATTCTCCTCACTTCAATGATTTTCAATATCTATACTAGTTTAATAAATTTTCCAAAAGAATTCAATTATTTAAAAAAAAATTTTACTAAAATTGTACACAAACATTTAATTATTTTCATAAATAATAAAAATTGCACAGAAATTCAATTAATTTTATAAATAATAAATTTTTTTTGTAAATTCAATTATTTTTATAAATAATAAATTTGTTTTAGGAATTTAATTATTTTCATAAACAATAAAGCTCATCGCAGAATTTTAATTATTTTTTTGTACAATTTTAATCGAATTCCTCGAAAAATGTAATTATTCTTAAAAATTTGATTAAAATTCGTCAAAAGAATTCAATTATTTAAAAATTTGTTGATAAAATTCTTTATGAGAATTAAATTTTAAAAAACATTTAAATATTCAATAAATTTATTTACTTTTGTATTTAAATAATTGAATAATTTTGAAAGGATTTCAAATTAAAATATGTGTCACGCTCCAAAGAAAGGTGCCTAAGAAGCAAAAAATTTGAGGTTATGTTTTTAATTTTTTGAGTAAAAATACAGAAAGTGAATCAATTATTAATTGAAAATTTATTAATCTTCAAGTCTTCATTATATCGCCAAAATATTCAATGAAAATTTGTTTCAAATTCAAATAATTAAAAATAAACTTTTAATTAAAATAAATCTAACACGAACCTAACCTATAATTCGTTTGCTTCTTACCTTTCTTGGGAGCGCGTCACATATTTGAAAATTTTTATTTTCTTTACTTTTAACTTTTTTCTTTACTTTTTTAATTCTGAAAAATTAATTGTCAATGTTAATTTTTTCGACCACTTTTCTCTTAAAATATTAAATAAATTAAGCTAGTTTTCTGTGAATAACTCTAAACTATCATAAAGAAGGGCAGTGATGTGAAAAAGTTTTAATATTTTTAAAATGATTTATTAAAAAATAACTTTAAAATTATCAGTTCTCAAAATCACTTTTAATCAATTTCTCGTCTTTTCCGATTTCAAAGTATTTTTTTATAATTTATTTTAGAATTATTAAAACTTTTGCACATCACTGCTCTTCTTTATTATATTTTAGAGTTATTCACAAAAAACTAGCTTAATTTATTTAATATTTTAAGAGAAAAGTGGTCGAAAGAATTAACATTGATTTCTGTAACAGTCACATGCTGTTAATTCGAATCCGAACTCAGTTTTGCGCCATCACGTCAAGTTTCTTCAAAATGGCGGATACAATATGGCTGTCGAATTTATTAAAAATGTATCAGATTTACTTGAAACTTGTTACTCAGGGGTTTTTGAAGTCGCTGAATACGAATTTCACCTTAGTTTTTAAAAATTCAAAATGGCGGATCCAATATGGCTGACGTATTTTTAAAAAAATTATCAGATTTATTCGAAACTTGTTACTTGGGGGTTTTTGGGGTCGCTGAACACGAATTTCACCTTAATTTTAAAAAATCCAAAATGTCGGATCCAATATGTCTAAAGAATTATTTAAAAATTTCTTAGATTTTGAATTTTTGAAAACTAAGGAGAAATTCGTATTCAGCGACCCCGAAAACCCTCGAGTATAACGTTTCAGGTAAATCCAATAATTTTTTTAAAAATTAGTCAGCCATATTGGATCCGCCATTTTGAATTTTTGAAAACTGAGGTGAAATTCGTATTTAGCAACCTCAAAAACCCCCGAGTAACAAGTTTCAGGCGAATTGGATGAATTTTAAAAAAATCGACGCCATATTGGATCAGCCATCTTACATTTTGAATATTTACGAGTTTCTTTGATTGTTTAACATTATATAATATTTTTTCAGTGTTTTAAAGTTGTTTTTTAATAGAATATTCTGCTTATTTTTATTTAAATCTTGTTTACAGTCAGTTTTTTTCGAATTTTATTAATTTGTGAAGAAACTTGACGTGATGGCGGAAAACTGAGTTCGGATTCGAATTCAGCGACCCAAAAAACATGTAAAAAACATAGTCCGGCCAATACTTTCTTTAAAAAAATTTTGTGGTCCTGTGTTATAGTTAATATTAAAATAGAAAATAATTAAAATTTTTAAAACTTAAAAACTTACGAAAAATATAATTCAGAAAAAGATGAGGAAGACAAAAATCGTCTTATAATAAAATTGTACAAATAAAAATAATTTTACACATTTTTAGATTTAGAGAGTGCCTCTAATACAATAAGACGATTGTCGTCCCTTCTCATAAAACACCATATAGTAGTGGAGTAGAGTGTGAGGTATATTCTGGCCAGACAGTGAATTATTTATTAAACATATTGTAGGGGCTCAATCGAATTTTCTCGAACTATGTAGGGAGGCGATGTTTATTTAAATCTATGGCGTAACACCAAGCCCCTAATGTAATATATCTCGCTTCAGGAATTCTTAATATCTTGTTCAAAGCATATCGTAGAGATGCACTGACGCCCCTTCTTTTTCTGCGTAAATCGTTTACACACCCTCAACAACCCCAAATCATTCATTTCTATAGAAAATGTAAGTTGCAAATGGAAAAATAATTCACTCTTCATCTTCTGCGTGAAAAATAAACCTGAAGATCTCTAACAGAATTTTGATAGTGATAGTAAAAATGCTTGTGGATATATTAGGCTCTTGCAGAAATTGAATTATGGGTTTCTTGGGGAAAGTGTCAAAAGTGTGTAAATCGAAAAGGAGAGTGAAGATTTATAAGCAGTTCCCCTTTAATTAATGTTTATTTTGTTTGAAAAAGATAGAAATGAATTTAGTTGAAATATAAGGCAGCGATATGAAGGGTACTAAATTAAAATAATCAGTTATTCTTAATGTTCTTATTTCCCCAAAATTATGCATCAATAATAAATTGTCTGACAGGTGAAAATTGTACCCAATGGGCACACACTGATAGAGAAGGACACGAATTTGAAGTAAGAAAGTAAAAATTTAAAATGGCTAATCCAATATGCAGGACCCAATATGGTATATGATCTTGTACATAATATGCATTATAATGTTCATGATTTTGAACAGGGATTTTCAGCTGGGATTGTAATATTTGGAGAATATTGATGACATTACATTGAGTTCAAATGTTGTGCTATTTGGGACATAACATTAAAAATTCTTCAAATATCTTTCATTAGGTTGCGAATTTCATGAATGAGTATATGCATCATAACTGTAAGGAATTTCAAGTTGTCATCAAGATATAAAAAAATTCTAAGAAAAAAGAAATGATATCCATTAGCGTTGACTCGTGTCGCTTATATTTTTTGCATCTGCTTTTATTCCCCAACCTCTGTGGGGCGTGTCAAGAATTTTTGATATGTACAAGGGCCATAATTTCCATCATCATTATTTAAGATATTCCTTGTTTAAATCTGCATTTGGCATTCTCTTTGTATTCATAAAAATTCAAATATCGAAATAACGTAAACTAAAATAAAAAATTATTTTTGTATTCTATTTTTATATATTGATCTGAATAAGAATAAAATTGCAAACACTTTTTTTAATTTTATTACTCAGTGTATTAATGATTTTTATGTATATAACTTTATTTAAAAATGCTCGTAAAAATGTATTTACGCACTGTTTTTTAAATAAAAATAATAGTGTTTTACTATACAACTTATTCATTCACGCTTCTTAATCTTCATCCTTTGTTTCTAAATAAAAAATACCATCGATCACGAATTATTGCAATAAATAATTCAATAGGGGATCCACCAGAACCTTTAAGTAATTTATTATTCCGAAGGGCAATAACTTTTACTACGGGATGTTTAGTGTCGAGTTTTTTTTTACTTAATTTTCTCTCAGTAAATTCGATGAACTTAAATCTGAATTTCTTAAATACACCCTAAAAAAAGTAACCTTTATTTTAGCGGATAATAACTGTTTAAATTAATTAAATGTTTCAGACATCAAAACCCGAAAAGAATTGTTTTGTTTTATTAATACTTTATTATTATAATACTTTTTTTCTGGGTGTATAATTAAAATCGAACTAATTTCAAATAACAAAATTTATCTTTAACAAAAGTAGAAAAATATATTTTCATAAAACAATCTAAATTAAGAGGCTGGATCAAATAAATATCGATCTGCATGCAGATGGACTTTTTAATACCAGTCAGGTAGCTAGGAGCTGAATCCGTTTGAAAAATTTATCATTTAATCCACCCTCTCATGAGGGGGTGCAATTAATAAATTAGTAAATAATCATAATATTGAAACTCACCTGAACATTACAGGAAGAATATCTTTTCGAAGGACCTGTGCACCTGATGTATCCATTTGCGCTGAAAGAATAATTATTTTTTAATAAAATATTATAATGTTAAAAAAAATATAATGTTGCAATATTAAAAATTAGGCAAAGAATAATTAAAGTCTTTCTTGAAATTTTAGTTTTCTAAAGTTTTGATGACTTTTAATTATATATATGACAGGAATAGTTGCATTAATTCCAAGGATCAAAGCAAATCCTCGAAAAGCCGATAATGAAGGACGTGTTCGTGGTGATTGGCTAATCTATGATGCTAGACATGAACGATTAGGATAGCTATTGGCTAACACCTTCTCATTGAATTGTCGGATTATTTCTAATCGGGGCTTAAATTAATATTGAAAATTTCAATTAAGGTTAAAGAATATGGACAATCTGAAATATCGTTTTATATAATAATAATAATACAGAAACAAAAATTAAAAAATTATATAATATAAGTATAAGAATTTATCCTTTGAAAGAAGTATAAATTAAAGAAAAATTGTTTACAGAATATATATATATATATATAAATATATATATAAATTTCTAAATTTTTGTTTATGTATTACTGTAAAAAATGTTCTTAACTTTAATTTATAACTAACAAAAATTCGCTCGTGGCTAACTTCTCGCTCACTTTTTTAAATAAAATAATATTTAAAAATTTTTACTTTTAAAAATAATAGAACGTAACAATTTTTAATTTAAATGTTTTTTCTAAAAATAAAATATTAATTGGAATATATAGTTTTAATATTATTATAATTATAATAATCATATATTCTGACATAGGGAATTCAGGGAAAAGTCAGGAATTTTTATTAAAAGTACTGAAAAAAATTAAATTCTTAAAATTCATAAGAAAATTCTGAATTTTTGTCTCTTTTGTTTGACTCATAAACTAGGTATAAAATTACCACAAATTCTAATACAAAACCTTCAATTTTTTCAATTTCTAACAATAATTTCTTTTTTAATAACTTAAATCTTAATCAAACTATCATAAAATAAATAAATTATTTAATGAATAATTTTATTTAAATATTTCAAAATTAATTCAAATTTAAAAAAATTGCGATTACAATTTTCATAAATACAAACTTTAAACGGTTTCAATTTTAAATTTTATAAATTTTCAATGTTGAATGAATTTAATTAAAAATTTTAATAAACTTAGATTTTTAAAAAATTTTAATAATTCAAGATCTTCTAAAATTACTGGAATTCATCAGTATACATATATTTATAATTAATTATTAAAAATAATGGATTTATAGAAGAATTTTAGTTAAAAACACTAAAAAAATTGAATTTTAAAGAAGTTAAAAATCATTGCAGAAATTCTATTACTTTTAAAAGTAGGAAATAAAATTTTTATCACAAAATTCATTATTATGTTCAAAATTGAAAAAGAATCTCGACAAAATCCAAATTATTATCATTATAAATAAAAAAATTAATCAAAATTCAATTACTTTCAAAAATTTTAATAAAATTATTGTCAAAATTTCAATTATTTTCCCCATTTCAATGATTTTCAATATCTACTATATTTTAATAAAATTATATGTAAACATTGCAAACATTTAATTATTTTCTTAAATAATAAAAATTTCACAGCAATTCAATATATTTACAAATTTTTATAAGTTTCTTTTCAATAATTCAATTATTAACAGAAATAATAAAATGCATCGCAGAATTTCAATTATTTTTAATACAATTTTAATCGAATGTCTTAAAAAATGTAACTATTCTAAAAAATTTTATGAAAATTCGTCAAAAAAAGCCAATTATTTAAAAATTTTGTTAATAAAATTCTTTATAAGAATTAAATTTTAAGAAACATTCAATTATTCAATAAATAATTTACTTTTAAATTTAAATAATTTAAATCTCGTATAATTTTTTTTCATAAAAATTTATTTGAAAATGAAATTTAGTTTAATCAAATTTTAGATAATATAATAGAATATGATAATTATTTTTAAGAAGTTACAGTAACAATATTCTGATAATATAAAATAATGATTTTAACACTCTATCCTCTTTAATAATTATAAAACATAATGTTTTATAATTATGTTTTATAATAATATTTTTAAAATTGAATTAATTTCAAAAAAGGTTTGAATTTGAAATTTTTGAAAATCTTAATTCCTTTGGAAAAATAATATTTAAATATTAAAAATATTTAAAAAAGAAATTATTGTTTTTGAATAATTTTACAATTAAAGATATTCGTAAATAAATTTAACAGAACATTTTTTTGAATATTTTTTCCTTTATTTTCTAAAAATTCAAAAATTTTTAGTTTTATTTTTAATTAAATTTTTAAATTGGCAAATATAATTTATAGACATTTTTTCCTTTTATTCTTAAAAAGCTTTGAATTTTATTAAAACGATTGAAATTAATTATATTTTTTAAAGAAAAAAAAGAACAAAAGCATACCTACACATAAACTAAATTCAAACGGCGGACAGAATGTATGAAAGAATAAGGAGATTAATATAGTTAAAATAAATGTTTATAATAAATTCTTTTCTATTACATAAAAATATTTAGTCGCCTGCGTCGCTAAATCAGGATTTTTTAAGACCGTTGCCAAGGGGCCGTTACATTACACCCCCCAAAAGGCCGTTACGTTAAGTCAAAATTTATGATTATTGTAGAAAAAAGAAATATTAAATATTAAAGTTTTGCGATTTCAACGATTTGAGGGTTTAAAGTAGTACAAATTCACAAAAAAAAAAGAAGAAAGTGACTTTTAGTGGCACAAGACTAAAGATATATTCTAATAATAGAAAGCTATAAAAAAGTAGTAAATCACAAAAAGTGTTAAATAGAATATTGTTGCCTTAATTTAAAAACACTAAAATCAAATGAAATTTATTGACTCTATGTAAATTTGTTAGCAGACGTGTTTGGGTCTCGCGTTAGGTCTTATGTAGTTAAGAATATAATTATTCATGAGGTGCACAAGCACTGCAAATGACATTCTGTTACAGTTTAATAATAAAATATCTAATATTCAAAAGTCAAAAATCAATTTTTTGAAAATCAGTAAAACTTTGAAATGTTAAATAAATTCAATATTGATTTAGTCGACAGAATATATGGTTGTCCGGAATGAAACTATATACACTGAACTTTGATCTCCAAGTTGGATTATGTAATCTTCGTTTACACCCCGTTAAGTTTAACGGGTGGGGTAATACTCTTAACGTCCTTCTTTCACTGAAGGTGTGAATCAGCTTTCCTGAAAGTGGAACAAACCTTTTTCGGACTTTTAAAAACACAGATTCATGCAAAGTTAAAGTATAAAGACAAAGGTAAAAATCTGCATCCATTATCTTTTTCTGAAAAATTCTCCATTCCCACTGTGAGAGAGACTTTCACCCAATAGATGCGAGAATGACGAGCCTTCAGCAATGCCGGACTTCTGGTTTTTAAAGCTGCCATATAACCACCTACGAATTTGTTTTTTCGCTCGTAAATCATTTTCGGCGATACGCGAGAGAGCAGAGGAATCCGATCTACGAGCAAAAGAATAATCGCTCTCTTTTGAATTTTCAGTGCGGCTATGTAATAAATTGATACGACCAGACTCTTTGGATGAAAGAAAAATTCTCTTTGATTTCGACCTAGTTTTTCCGATTTCATTGCGAAAAAAAATTTAATTAGTTATATTTCACTAGAATTTTTAGTTAACACAAATAGTACAGAAAAGGTATAATTATTTCTATCTGTTTTCTCCTTAAAAATTATATGAATATTGACATGTATAATTCCAATTCCATAAAACTTGTCTTTTAAGTCAAAAACACTTTTGCATTTTGCATTTAAAAACGAATCCGTCATATTGGATTCCCCATTTTTATTTTTTTATAAATTAACATCCAATTTATGTAATCAGCGACCGAAAAAACATCTAAGTAGTAAAAAATATATAATATAAAATATTGAATATTGATTATCAAAAATCAATTATTCGTGAATTCTTCAATATTAAATATATATTAGAAAATAAAAACTTCAAATTATTTTTAAAAAATCCGCAATTAAACTTTCAAAAAAAAATTAATTTCACAGAATTATTAGTTAAAAATAAGAAATTTAGATTTTCAAAGATTTTAATTTAAAACATTTTCAAAATTCAATTACTTCTAAAAATTCACGTTCTAATGCTTTTAAAATTCAGTTTATTATAATCTAAAATTTTAACTGAAATACATTTTTAAGTCAATTTTAATTATAAAATTCTACTATAATACTAGAATTCTACTAGAATTCAATTATTTAAATAAAAAATAAATAATTTATTAAATAATTAAATTTTTCTGAAAATTCAAGTCTCATAAAAAATTTTATCAATAAATTCTTAAATAATTTAATTCTTTTGACGAATTTAAGAATGATTACATTTTTCGAGGAATTCGATTAAAATTGAATTAAAAATAATTGAAATTCTTCAATGAGTTTTATTATTTATTATTTTTCAAAATAATTGAATTTTAGAAAAGAATTTTATTAAAGTTCCTTAAAATAATTGATTTTATTGGAAGAATTTTGTTGTTTCTCAAGATAATTGAATACTTTTGCAGAATTACTTAAAACTTGTTGAAAAATTGCATTTTTCGAGGAATTTATTTAAAATTGTATTAAAATTTAAAAATATTTGAAATTCTGCGATGAAAATAATTGAATTCTTAAATGAAATTTTATTATTTATCAAAAATAATTAAATGTTTTAGTAGAATTTTGTCAAAAAAATTTTTCAATAATTAAATCTTTTAATAAATTTTATGAAAAGAAAAAATATTGAAAATTATTGAAGTTGCGAAAAAGTTTTGAAAATAGATAAAATTTTGCAAAGAATTTTATGTAAATTTTTGAAAATAATTGAATATTTGGCGAAATATTTTGCTATTTGTAATGTATAATTGATTTCTTAATGAGATATTATAGTTAAAATTTTTTAAAATAATTGAATTTATTCCAAAAATTTTATTTTGATAATAATTGAATTCTTATGGGATGAATATTGTTATTTATGAAAATAATTAGTTTTTGCAAAGAATTTTATTAAAATTCCTGAACATAATTGAATTTTTGTGAAGAATTTTGTTTACCTAATTGCGTTAAAATTAAAACTTTTGAAATAATTAAATATTATTCAAAAAATTCATTCTTGTCACATATAGAAAAAATATTTGAAGGTTTTGTATTATAGAATTGGTATGTTCGTTTAATGGTTTATGAGGTAAACAAAAAAACAAAAATTCAGAATTTTCATATGAATTCTAAAAAATTAATTTTTTCCAGTACTTTTAATAAAAATCCCTGACTTTTCCCTTACTACCCTGACCTGTAGCAACCCTGTTTTTTAAATGTCAAGAAGTGTAAATAAAGTACGCATAAAGAGGTATGTTTTGTGCCAAAAATAAACTACTTTTACTATTAAATTTATGCAAATAAAAATATAGGTTCCAAGCTTTAATTTAAGCCCTATTTTGATTTTTTCGTTTAAATTAAAAATGGAAAGATAGGGGGTGAAATTTGAGAAAGAATTTTATTTGTTAAAAAGATTAATTTCAATTTTTTACGATATTCAAGTTGAGTTGTAAGTGAGTGATTCTTAGTTTGTGCAGTATTTATTATAAGTTAATAAGCTTTCTCGCAAAAACAGTTTCTTACTTTGTCAAACTTTTTTCAACTAAAGTTTCTTATTCAAGGGAAAATACTTAAAAATTTTATATAAATTGTTAAAAAGATTCAAAAGTTTTAAACGTCCATTCAGATTACAAACAAGTTTGTATAATTTTCTAGGTGATTTATTTATAATATGTGATGCCTGCTTGCAGATTTGCAACACAATTCATACTTTAGACTATATATTCAAATTAAAATTAAAGTAAACATAAACATAACATTGCGTACTTTCGTTTAAAATAAACGAAAATATTATCTATATGTAGGCAAAGAAGGTTCTATTTAAAAAAAATTATGTTGTATTTTAAAGCAAAATTCAGAGCATTCATCAGAACTTAATATTGTATTAATTTTATAAATAAGTAATCGATTACTCACTCTATGTCTAAACAATCTCTCTGCTGATTTTGAACTCCACCCCCACAGGTGCGAGAACAGGGGCTGGGATTAGACCATGGCCCCCAAATCCCTCTCTCCGGTTCATCTGGATCCAATACGTAAGTTTTAGGTAAATGACTATTTCCATGTTGTCGCCTGTGCCTTCCGTGTCTTAATTTTATGTGACGCTGCAAATTAAATTATTATTTTTAAAATAAAAGTATGAGATAACATTTTATTTTTACAGAAAACAATAAGTATTAAACTTTTTGCGTATTTTGTTTAACATTTGGTGCTAAAATAACATTTTTTTTGCTTTAACTCATCCAAAAACTTGCAACTCTTAAAGAATTCATCGGAGTTAAGATTTTACTTTTTTTACAGTGTGAGGATAAAATATATATATATATACAAATAAAGTTGGTTTATAAATAAAATTTAGTTTAAAAACTAGTAATAATGCAAACACTATTTCCATTTTCCCTTATTACAATCTATCATAACAATTTGTCAAGTCCTTAAAATGTAGAGGAAAATTGTTTTAATATTCGCAAGATACAGTTGACCCAACAATTTCAGCATGTTTGCTCTCATTCTAACTAACCGTAACTGAACTCGTCAGATTAAATTCTCATTTACGTCAGTTTCAAACTTTCATCTGAGAGAATTATTAGACCTCCCAAGATAATTTAAAGTTTATAGAATATAAACAACTATTACACAGTCTCTTACTTTATTGTTTTCCTTAAATAAAGTACAAATATTTTTATATTACAATTTATATAATTGACAAAGAATTTCAAATTTTTATTATTAACAATTAAGAATTTTAATGCAAAATTAAAATTATAATTGAAACATTAAAAATGGCGGAGACAATATAGCGAAGGACTTTCATTGCTAAACTTCTCAAATTCCTTTTTAAAAAAAATTATTTCTCGAAAGCCTGAAATGCTGGGTCAATTCTGAGGTCGGATTCGGATTCAACACGTTAATCCTTTGAAGCATACATTTTTCTAGTCAAGGAATTTAATAACCAAGTACACTTTACGGGGTTTTCAAGATCGCTGATTATAAATCTGAAGTCGGATTTTCAGATTTTAAAAATTAAAAATGGCGGATACAATATGGCGGACTAATTTTTTAAAATTGATCAAATTCACTTGAAACTTCTTACTCGGGGGTTTTCGGGGTCGCTGATTACAAACATGAAGTCAGACTTTCAAAATTCAAAATGGCGGATTTAATATGGAGGATTTATTTTTAAAATTGATCAAATTCACTTGAAACTTGTTACTGGGGGGTTTTCGGGGTCGCTGATTACAAATATAAAGTCAGATTTTTAAAATTCAAAATAGCGGATCTAATACGGCGGAATTTTTTTAAAAATAATGATTGAAATCGCTTAAAACTTGTTATTCAGGGGTTTTTGGGGTCGTTTATTACAAATATGAAGTCCTTATGTGGGTCGTAATTTGAAGGCCCCTATGAAAGGCCCTTTGGTGCCTGTTTTTGACCTTTAGGTTAAAATATAGATCAACATTGACCTTAAATTTTGACGTAAAGTAACGTCCTTTACGGAGCCTTAACATTGCAATGTTGGCAATATTGGCATGAAATATTGCCACATTATTGAGCTCAACTTTTGTACTATTTAGAAATGAAAATTATTCAAAACTCACGAACTATATTGTATGGTAAACTATGAAATATTTTGTAATTAATGATAATAATTTCTATAATGTTTTTAAAGGTGAAGTTCTCACCCCCACAGTAGCTACACTTGCAACAACATTGACATTGCTGCAAGTTAAGATACTGTAAGTGCATGGATAAATATATATTAAATTTAATTTTGGAAATTTCAACTTAAATATTCTATAATATTCTAAAATGTTCTAATATACATATAGTTTGTCTAAAACTTCTATCATATTCTTCACAGCATGTCAATAACCGTTCTCATAATGAAAGATTTTTTAGAAATCATGTTAAAAATAATAAAATTACCTCAAAAATATTCAGCAAGATTTCGTATTATTTTTTCTGTAGTGTTATGGAAAATTGAAATTAAATTTGTAACACTTGACATAAAATCGATAAGGCACTCAAATGCGCCGATTAAAACCCATTAGGGTAAAAATGTTTCCTTAAATTATCTATACTTGTTTGTTAATTTTAGATTTACGTTTAAAATGTCTAATATCCATTCCTGATAAAAATTATAAAATTTCTGGATTTCTATATATTTTTCACGCTTTTAAACCTTATACTCTAATTTAATAAACTTGAATGCTCGCTTGAATGTATTTTAAATAATGTTTTTAAAAAACGTTTAACACTTTGCTTTAAAATAAATTATACACATACCGTAAAAGTAAATTACTTTGAATAAAAAATTACTTTAATGAAAAAACAAATTTTGTTGGAATAAGGTAGGAAGGAAGAGGACAGGAATTAAATGCTAAAAGTTTCGCAAAAAATTGTTCGCAAGCCTTTGACGTTTTCGAGAAAGAAAGCAATAAAAAGTAACGAAACGAGAGGAAAAAACAGTGGTACTCGAGAGGAGCGCACTTTTATTACACGGAAATGCACACACGGTACATATGCGAAGCCAGTACAGAGAGTCTCACGGTCGATAAAAATCACCGCAGCTGTTACTTGGGGCTCGCGGGCAAACACGAGACCAACGCAAAACTAACGCCTGTAGGGCAAAGATATTTACATCTCATTTATTTGTTGCCCCAGTCTTTAAACTTGTTACACGGAAAATTTCCTTTTGAACCCTGCTGTCCAACGTGAATTGCATCTGTCCAATGAGGAACTAAAATATATATATCTTGAGTGACTGCAGATTAACGAGGTTCTTGCGAGAGTTTACAAATTTTTTTCACAAACGTGACACATTATTTTTATTCATTTTGAAATTAATTATTTTTGCACAAAAGCATACCAAGATTGTTTTATAAATAGTAATAAACTTCTTGACAGAGAAATTTTATAGAAAAACTATCGTAAAAATACTTTCTAAATAACACTATACAGCTAAAAGTTTATGGTTGAAAATTCTCTTTGAGCTGTCATAGGGAAATTGAAGTAAAGAAGTTATACGTTAGTCTTCTGTATTATTGGTATTGCCATACTAATGACAAAAATATTGTCCGTGTCGCAACTATATATATAAGTAACATACAAATAGATGCAATAATTTTTAAGGATATGACAGTTATAATGGAGTGCAATTTAATAACATAAAATCTAGGATGATGACGAGAGATTAGATTTTTCTATAATTTCTACCTACTCATAGTAGAATTTTGATGAATTTATGAAAGAAATTTTAAATTTAAATACGGTGGGTTAGGGACATGATCTTCAAAAATTCGTTTTTTTTTGCATTTTTTGAAAGTAGCATATCTCGAACATATTCCCAGAAAACTTCAAGTAAATGCAATGAATATTTTTTCAGAATCAGAATTCCAGACATCAAATATCAAAGAGATCTGTGATCCTTGAATTATCCTAACTTTCCTGAACCAATGGTTATCCCTAGAACATCCATATAAGATATTTTAAATATCTAAATGTTGATAGGGATAAAACTAGAGAATTAAAGACATAATAAACTGCAGCCTGATGAAAGGTTTAATTAATTTTTTTTATAAATAATAAAAAATAAACTAGAACATTTTTTCTTGGAAATCAGTCAGTAAATTTTCGAAGACCATTATTTTGATTATCTTCAATAACAAAAAAATTCCATCGATGAGGTCCGTGATAAATTATTAAACTGATGAAATTTTCTTATTTGATTGATTTTAGATGATTCAGTAAAAATTTGTGATGGGTCACCGCAAAGAAAAATACTTATGTCTCAAAATTTTTTTACATATATTCCCGTTTCTTAAAATTTTTGTAGAAATTTTCTTAATTACAATATTATTTTAATAAAATTTAAAGTTTTTCAAAAATAAAGGAAAAAAATGTAAATAAATTCTATTTGTCAATTACAAATTTTAATTGAAAATGAAAATTTTTTTATTTTTAGAAAATAAAGGAAAAAATTGAAAAAAAATGTTCTGTTACATTTATTTACGAATTTCTTTATTTGTAAGATTATTCGAAAACATCAATAACTTTTTTTTTAAATAAAAATTTAATTATTATCATTTTTCCATAGGAATTAAGATTTTAAAAAATTTCAAATTTACACCTTTTTGAAATTAACCAACATTAAAAATATTATATCAAAAAAAAAAAAAAAGTTTTTTTTTTACAAAAACTTAATTAAAAATATTGTTATAAAACATGAAGATATCGATTACTCCGAGTCTTTGACTCGGAGCGATCCATTTCTTCATTTTTTATAATAATTAAAGATGATCGAAAGATAAAATAATTATTTTATATTATAAAAATATTGTTATTATAACTTCTCCAAAATTATTTTTATATTCAATTATTATCTAAAATTTTAAATAATATTCATTTTTAAATTAATTTAAAAAAAAAATTCTACGAGAATTCAATTATTTAAATACGAAAATAAATAATTTGTTAAATAATTGAATTTTTCTCAAAATTGAATTTTCATAATCAATTTTATCAAAAAACTTTTAAATAATTGAATTCTTTTGACAAATTTTATTAAAATTTTTTAGAATAGTTAAATTTTTTAAGTAATTTGATTAAAATTGTATTAAAAATAATTTAAATTATGCGATGAGTTATATTATTTATGAAAATAATTGAATTATTGAAAAGAAACTTATAAAAAATTTGTAAATAATTGAATTCCTGTGAAATTTTTAATATTTATGAAAATAATTAAATGTTTGCGTACAATTTTTTTATGTAATATTAAATTTTTTTGGGTAATTTTATTAAAATAGTATAGATACTTATTGAAAATCATTGAAATGAGAAAAATTTTTGAATATAATTGAATTTTGAAGAAGAATTTTTTATCTATAAAGATAACAATTGAGATTTGGTCCAGATTTTTTTGTAAATTTTGAAAATAATTGAATTTGTGAAATAATTTGTAACTTTTTCAAAATTCAATTTTTTTAGTGTTTTTAACTAAAATTCTTCTACAAATCCACAATTTTTAATAATTAGTTAAATATGTATTGACAAATTTAACTAATTTTAGAAGATTTTGAATTATTAAAATTTTTCAAAAATT